ATGACACAATCGATAGATTTAACACAACCAGGCTTGCTCTACAAAACACAGTTTTCTTGTATCAACAACCTTTATTATTTGAAATCACAAAAAGTTTCGAATCCTATCTGGATCCTTTAAGGTACGTTCACACCAACGGCGAATGCCACGCTTTAAATCGGCGAGCAAAGCGCCGTCATTTTTGTCATTTTTCTTCATACCAACGGCGCTTTGATGGCGCTTTAAAGCGGCTTGTAAAGCAGCACCAAAGCGTAACAAAGTTTGATTAAAGCGTCGGGGTCGTAATAGGTCGTAGAAAAGCTCAGAGTAAAACGGGATATTCGGCAAGAGCGCCAAAAAATTTTAAAATCTTAAAAAATTTTGGGCGCTCTGTTACGAATCGATTAAGCGCCGAGAGCGTATCAAAGCTTAACAAACCGTAACAAAGCTCAGAAAAACTTGATCCAAAGCGTAGGAAAGCTTAACATAGCTCTAAAAGGTTCCTCACGCTTTGATCCCGCTTTGATCAGGCTTTGTTACGCTTGAAATCACGCTTTGAAAAGCTTTGATAAGCATTATTACGCTTTGATGCGATTATGACGCTTTAAATCAGGCTCTGATACGATTGCAAAACTCTGTTGTGCATTGTTACGCTCTGTTAAGCTCTGTTACGCATTGGAAAATGTCGAGATCGCCGATTCCATGCCGCTTTTGATCCAATGACTATATAAAGATGCAGTAGATCCATAAAACCATTGCATCTTTGACTCGAGAACACGATGGCAGAACAACGAGATCCAGAAATTCCAGATGGACCAGAGCATGACCTATCTGAAGAAGACATGACGTTTGTCGCACGGCGTGATATAGCGTGTGAAAACTTTCAAGCGTAACAAAGCCTAGCAAAGCGTTTCAATCCTTGATTAAAGCGTCTCAATTCGTTGGAAAGCTTGAGAGTCCCTCAGGAAAGTGTAACAAAGAGTGTCAGATATTGATGAAAGCGTCTGACCTCGTGTCAGATCTTCATGCCAGATCGTAGCAAATCTTGAGACATCTTAACGAAGCGTGTCAAGTGGTAACAGACCGTGAATAGACTGGGGTCCCCGCTTTGAACCAAGCTGTGTTAAGCTTTCCTACGCTTTGAGTCAAGCTTTGTTGAGCTTTGTTACGGTTTGTTAAGCTTTGATACGCTCTCGGCGCTTCAATCAATTCGTAACAGAGCGCCCAAAATTTTTAAACAGTTTAACATTTTTTGGCGCTCTTGCCGAATATCCCGCTTTACTCCGAACTTTTCTACGACCTATTACGATCCCGACGCTTTAATCAAGCTTTGTTACGCTTTGGTGCCGCTTTACAATCCACTTTAAAGCGCCATCAAAGCGCCGTTGGTGCGAACGCTTAAACAGTTTAAATTTTTTAGCGCTCTTGCCGAATATCCCGCTTTACTCCCGAGCTTTTCTACGACCTATTACGACCCCGACGCTTTAATTAAGCTTTGTTACGCTTTGGTGCCGCTTTACAAGCCGCTTTAAAGCGCCATCAAAGCGCCGTTGGTGTGAACGTACCTTTAAGCTACGTTCACACCAACGGCGAATGCCACGCTTTAAATCGGCGAGCAAAGCGGCACCAAAGCATGATGGCGCTTTAAAGGGACTTCTAAAGCGGCACCAAAGCGTAAGAAAGCTTGATTAAAGCGTCGGGGTCGTAATAGGTCGTAGAAAAGCTCGAAGTAAAGCGGGATGTTCGGCAAGAGCGCCAAAATTTTTTAAACTGTTTAAAAATTTTGGGCGCTCCGTTACGAATTGATTAAAGCGCCGAAAGCGTATCAAAGCTTAACAAACCGTAACAAAGCTCAGCAAAGCTTGACCCAAAGCGTAGGAAAGCTTAACAGAGCTTGGTTCAAAGCAGGGACCCCAGTCTCTTCACGGTCTGTTACCACTTGACACGCTTCGTTTAGATGTCTCAAGCTTTGCTACGATCTGGCATGAAAATCTGACACGCGGTCAGACGCTTTCATCAATATCTGACACTCTTTGTTACGCTTTCATGAAGGACTCTCAAGCTCTTTAACGAATTGAGACGCTATAATCAAGGATTGAAACGCTTTATTAAGCTTTGTTACGCTTGACAAGCTTCCGCACGCTTTCTCACGCCCTTTTTACGCCGTGCGACAAACATGTCTTCTTCAGATAGGTCATGATCTGGTCCATCTGGAAATTCTGGATCTTGTTGTTCTGTCATCGTCTTCTCGAGTCACAGATGCAATGGTTTTATGGATCTACTGCATCTTTATACAGCCATTTGATCAAAAGCGTCATGATAAAGGCGATCTCGAAAATGCACAACAGAGCTTGGCAATCGTATCAGAGCCTGATTTAACCCCCCTATCACACCAAACTCGTTCTTACCCGTTCTTGCCAGTCCTACGAAAACGTCGTAAAACGGGCTCAATCTGGCTGTGGTCGGGAAATATGTCTGAAATAATTAGCTTCTTCGTTCTTAAACAGTCTTCAATACGTCCTTCTCGTTCGCAGTTCGTTCAGGTCGCACCACGTCGGTGTGCAACGTAGTAGAACGCGTCCCTTAGTCTAGAAGGTCAACATGACCTGATTACAGAACGTTATGGTCGCCATCGAATTTTGAATCGATTCAAAATTCTAAAATCACATTCCCGTCTGAGAACGTTCATAAAGTTCGTAAATAGACCTTAGAAAGTTGCGGCTACGTTCATTCCGTTCGCACACAGTTTTGAAGAACGCAGTGGCAACTTGTTTGGTGTGATAGCTATATTTTTGCTAACTCGTTCATAAGCAGTGTTAAATACGTTCTCAATCAGTTTAAACCCGTTTGCAATTAGTTCTACCTCGTTCTCAACACGTCCTCAGACAATTCAACTCGTTGTTAAAACGTCCCTAGTAGGATTGAAGTACGACGGTTCCGTTCGTAGTACGTCCAGCTCGTCGTTAGTACGTTGTCACTCGTTCTAATTGTAGAACGTGACGACCACGAGAACATTTTGAGCATTGTCTAAGTTCTAGAGGACCTACCCGTTCGAGTACGTTCGATGAAGTTTGTTAATAGATCCCAAACGGTTCTTAGTAGGTCCAGTCCGTTCGTACACAGTTGAAGCCCGTTTTTGAGAACGTAGTGAGAACTAGTTTGGTGTGATAGTAGGGTAAGCGTCATAATCGCACCAAAGCGTAATAATGCTTACCAAAGCTTATCAAAGCGTGATTTTATGCGTAACAAAGCCTGGTCGAAGCGGGATCATAGCGTGAGGAACCGTAACAAGTCGGGAAATCAGAGCGTATCAGAGCTTATTAGAGCGTAACATTACTTAGGAGATCGTGATATTTTTAGAAAAGTAAACATAAATGACAGCGCTTTGCTCGCCGATTTAAAGCGTGGCATTCGCCGTTGGTGTGAAAGTAGCATTATAAATGTTTGGCGCTCTTGCCGAATATCCCGCTTTACTCAAAGCTTTTCTACGACCTATTTCGACCCCGACGCTTTAATCAAGCTTTGTTACGCTTTGGTGCCGCTTTACAAGCCGCTTTAAAGCGCCATCAAAGCGCCGTTGGTGTGAACGTAGCTTTATCAACTGGAATAAAACTCAACTGTCCCTTTATATTTGAACAGAAATAACATTAATTAAATTAAGGAAAGATTTCGTACAAAGCTTCCAATATGTTCTAGAAGATCAAGGGTTAATGGCTCATTCACTGAGTTTTGTTTGCGAAAACATAATGTCATTGTGACCTTGATCTAACACATTCTGATAAAGATCACTTACAGTTACAACTAAATTTAATGTGAATATAATAGACTATAGAAGTCAGTATTGTAACATCAGTTACAAGTGAAGCAAAAAATGTAAATTCTTTCAGGATTACAAGGTCCACTCCCAAGCTTTTTACAAAAAGTTATTACCACCTTTCATTGATTATTAAAAAGCTATATAAAAATTGTATGAAAACAGCTAACTCATAATTTTGCTCCATGAGGTACCCATTTTTTGCTAAAAGTATAGTTTCATACGATATACAGGGTGGGCCAAAAAAACAATACCCAACTTCAAATCAGGATAAAAAATAGTTACGTTCAATATGGTACATTGACTTATACATTATTTTAAAGGTAATTCATTTCAAACAATGTGGTATATAACACTATGTCATGAAATCAATAGTAACGTTTTATTATACTTATTTGGGAGGCCGGGTTGCTATTTAAGGTCTCCAGATTTTAGGGAGAAAATAGTAAATCTGCGGAATTATGTCAATTTTTTATTGTTTCAGCTCATCAATGATGTTTATCGGATGCTTGTGATTGTACCATTTCCTCGAGATGTTTCCATGTATGGTAATCAACCACATTAGCATCGGGACTGTTGAGTAACCAAGCATCGAGATCAATCAAATTGACACCTTGTTCACAAAATTCAGTGTAATCAATCCTCTTGAAAAATTACCATTCAGTGTACTTGGACCACCATCTGATGTACTTGTAACTGATGTACTTGGTCCAATGCTTGATGTACTTGGTCCAATATCTGATGTACAGTACTTGGAACTGATGTACTTGGTCCAATTCTTTTGCAGGAAAGTATTCTTGCATTGCCTTCTTTTAGTAAACCTGGTAATTATAACAGGTCAATGACAACTCCAGTAATAATGCTGATATTTCAAGAAAATCATTCAAAATGACCGCCTTTTCATTTTTTCAAAATTTCGTCTCCAAGTTTCTCAATAACACTGGATTGCCATGGACCACTTGCTAAAACGAAAAGAAGACAATGTTATGGTACTTTCCTAAAAAAAGCAAGGAAATACATTAATACAGACATGCCTCCAAACTTTATTTTGTACCAGAAAATAACATGGGCAGGTTAAGCATTTTTTTCAAAAATTTTTTTTGGAAAAATAACCTTAAGGCTTGTTATATATTTGAGCATGTTGCATGTTAACCGCAATGTACTAGGAATTTTACACATTTTAATTAGCTTTTAATTTTATTTGCAGGCGATAATGAACTGGATGAATACTACACTATTTCTGACCACCGCACATCAGCAAAAGTGTTTGGATCTCTTGCAATTTTCATACTAATTGCACTGATAGGGATAATAGTCATAAGTGACATCGTGACGGCCAGGAAGCACGTGAAACGCTTAGGCTGTATGACGAACATCAGGAACGCAAGGAGGATGACTGCGAGGGAACTGTGTTACTCATGCTGGTGTGCCAATGATAGACGTGTCAAAGTTAAAACAACAAAACGAGGTCCTAAACTTAGTTTCATTCTTAGCAAATATAGAGAGCGTCTTGGTTCAAAAGAGGGTGATTTGACGTGTGACAAGATGTTCATTATAATAGTAAAGGTGTTTTATGCAGAACTAAGGCAGATGTGCTGTGCGGTCAACAAGGTTGGTGTTATTCCAGGTCTTGATGATTTAGATAAACTAGAGACGGCAATCACGGCAGCCATTAACAAAGATACAGCAGATGTTGTTCCAAGTACATCAGGTATTGGACCAAGTACATCAGATGTTGTTCCAAGTACATCAGGAATTGAACCAAGTACATCAGGTATTGGACCGAGTACATCAGTTCCAAGTACATCAGATGGTGGTCCAAGTACATCAGATGTTGTTCCAAGTACATCAGGAATTGAACCAAGTACATCAGGTATTGGACCAAGTACATCAGTTCCAAGTACATCAGATGGTGTTCCAAGTACATCCAATGTTTTTCCATGTACATCCAATGTTTTCCCATGTATATCAGGAGAGTTTCCAAGTGCATCAGATGTTTTTCCAAGTACACCAGATGTTTTTCCAACTACATCAGATGATGTTCCAAATGCACCAGATGTAGATCCAAGTACATCAGGCATGTCAGGTGTTGTTCCAAGTACATAAGATATTGTTCCAAGCAAATCGGATGGCGGTTCAAGTACATAAGATGTTACTGGTCCAAGTACATCTAATGTTCTTCCATGTATATGGGGGGGGGGGGGGAGTTCCAAGTACATCAGATGTTTTTCCAACTACATCATATGTTGTTCAAACTGCCCCAGATCTTGGACTAAGTACAACAGATATTGGACCAAGTACACCAGATGTTGTTCCAGATATATCAGATATTCCTTCCAGTATATCAGATGTAGCCCATTGTTCAACATTATGAATACATGCGTACCAGATGTTGGGCCATTCTTAGTAGCGTTGGTGTTAAGTGCTGTAGAAGCAGATTACAATTCATTTAAAGTATGACTTGCTCCGTGTTTGGATTGTGTAGTTTGATTGAAAACAGATGGGGAACGTTTTGTAAAATATTCAGAAGACATCATTCAAACCACAAATAGCAGATGTAGCTTCATATCCATTGAATGTGGATCCGTGTTAGTCTATTAGTCCATGGTATGACTTCCGAACATGAAGGATCCGTAGCACACTCTAGCGCAGCAACATTTGAAGCAATATTTATGAAGGTGTACATGTCTTGATTCTTTTAAAATACAATTTGCTGAAAAAACTTCCGGCTTTCGGGTCGAAAAATGTCTTTCATCACAAGGGGTCAAAAAACGTAAATATTTTGATTCGAACTTTTATACATTTTATAAGACACAGACCGTTAATCTAAGCATACGAACAAAAATAAATTATCATAATTTAAAAATATTCTATTTAATTTTACCGTTGATGTCGGTGATTAATTAGTGTAATTATGCAAGTGTATTTTTCAGATTTTGTTTGATGTTTTAAATATGAGCTAAGCCGATTCAACAAAATTATGTGGAATATCTAGGTAATTTATGATTGGGAACATATTAGTTTTCTTACCATTTAAAACATTTTATTACCAGAATTTTTCCATATAATCGCAAGGGGTCTAACAACAAATTATTGTTCATGTTTTACAAAACATAATACAATAACAAATAGGTAAGATTTATATCTAATTAAATGTTACAGAGATATTGGAATGTTCATATATTCCAAGGGCATGTCTAATAATCAATTAGAGTCATATGCAATCGAACGCCCTGAAATTCTTCCTCGACGTTACTTGTGGCTATCATCAAGTTTTCTGATGGCTGTTTGTTTTTTGACCTTACCGCTGGATACAATCAAATTTTAGGAAGATAATGATAACGATTTTTCTCAATTATTCATGAATTCGATCAAGTCTTGATGGTTGTTTTCTAAGCAACTGAGCTATATCTAACTACGGGAAATAGAATTTTAGCTGTAATCCCAATTAGTCAAGGAAGGGCAATAGGCCCGCCTTTATTGATAATTTTCACCGCTGAATAATAGTTTATATCTCAAAACGTTTTGAGACCCCTTTTGTGAAAAACTAGCATAATCTAATCATTTGTCAATCCAATATAAAATTCATTTGTAGCATTTATCTTATTGATACCTGAGAAACAATACAAAACGTCGATACACTGATTACATATTTTTGGGTATTGATAAGAAAAATTACCTAAAACTTATAGCTTAGAAACCTAAATTATATATTTAAAATCATTTTTTATCATTTTTTGTTGCATAGTGTACTCCCAAATTGTGAAAAATTGGGATTTTATTTTTTGGTGATTTTTTGACCTTTGTTAATGGCAGACATAATTCAGCCTAAAAGCCGGAAGTATATTGAACGGTTATGATTAAAATTATTAGGGGACATATGTAGGTATGTTAATGTAAGGTCAAATATCGCTGCGCTATAGTGTGCTACCAACTCCTTTACTAGACGTCCTAGAGATTTCATACCATGGACTATATGTTAGTTAAAGGTGCAACAATTAGTGCAGAGGGGCCATTCAACTATAATGGATCAGTGTCAAAGTTTCTCTCTACAGGCCTTGTTGCCCCTTTAAATGTGAACTAAGGTATAACAGATGTGAACCCATAAATTGTGTATAGACTCATTCATGAAAGATGGTACAGGAAATACTGGCACTTTTGTAGCATATATGTTCTTCATACAACCAGATGTGGATCCCTATCCAGTTTTTTGATATGGAAGAGAATTATTCAATAACTTAAAAAAATGGCACAGTATTACACTTAAGACATGACATATTAAATGAAACCATACAATTAAATTAAAAGCATGTCACGTTTTTTATAAAAAATAAGGTTTATTATTAAAGAGAATGGTAATACATGTTTTTTTACAACATTATACTGTATGTAATGTTTGAGACCATTGTATATTAAAGAATAATTGACCTTGTGCATCAATCAGCATATCACTGTTGTCAGTTCTCAATAGGGAAGTGCTTAAATGTAGCTATATAGCTGAATAAAATTGAATAAATAGATGTCACCACTTCTTTTGGTTGGGCCAGACTACCATAGGCTTCAATGATAAAAATTTGCAATAGTCACTTAATTTAATGATTTATCAAAAAGTGTTGGTAGGAAAAACTTTAAAACTTTAATTGAAAACTATGGGATGACCCTGTTAAAGTACATATTGTGATTAATCATGGCAATTTTGGTTGTTGAATGAATAAACCAAGGTTTTAAAGAATTTTTATGTTGCATCAATAAAGATTTTGCCAACACTTTTTTTTAGAAAAGTTGAAAAAGTCATGAAAATCCTTTTAAATAATTTAAATAACATTACTGTACTCCCTGTAAAGGAGTGGTATCGATATGGAGAACTGAATTCAACAATGTTTTTCTTTTTTTGTTTAAACCAATCATTGAAAACATTCTGTAAAAAAACACGGTATTTTATGTAATGTTGACTGTCAACAATCTAATGCGAAAATTATTTAGAAATATTTTATATATAACTGTTTTTTTTGTGAAATTGTTTTTGCTCCTTTCTACCAATTCTTGAGAATGAAATAAAATGTCTTTCCGCCCTTGTTGGAACAAAACAGCATAATTAAAACGCACGCGAACAATACTGAGAGTACAGTAATGTATAAATCAAACATGCATTTAAAATTAATGAAAAGCAATTCTTTAAAATCTCACGAAAGAAAAACAAGAATAAGCGAAATTTCAATGCTATATAGAAACTCCTCTATTGCAAGAGCCATGGTAATTGTTCAAATACATTTTTCCTATGTATCAGTTAAACTATTTACTAATACTGGTAACTACATATACACTCCCCTCGATAACTTTGGCAACTGGAGGTTTTCATTAGATAGCATATCAAAGCAAAATTGTTCCAAAATTACAATGATTCCAAAATGACTGACAGATTTTTTTAAAATCCTCAAACATAAGCATCCTTCAATAAGTGATCCACAAGGGGACTTCCAGTTGTCAAATTTATGGAGTGAAGACTTCAAGAGTTCAGTTCATCTAAGAACACAGTCTAAAATGTCTATGAGAATAATCTTATAAAACGTAAGTAGTCCCTGAGGTTATTGATACATTGACAATATGCACCTCAAGTGAATAAATGAGTTAACGCCAATGTCTTAAGTTCCAAGGTTTTTCCATTCGGTTGAGACTCGCTTACTTGCTTGACATCTCGCCCTTCATCAGCTTGGTGACCTCAGTCAATGAAGCAACTCAGTCACACTCAAAGGTTAAAGTCACTATGACAGGTAAACAGTTCCTCTTATAGCTAGGTCGACATTGCAGAATTTACTTCTTTGATGACTTTCTCAGGTTCTGGAAACTTGAGTTTTCTTGGAGGTCCCTTTTTCAAGCCACTCCAGACACTTACTTCTAGAAAATAAACAAAAATAGTGTTGTTGCGAGAATGACAAGACACCAAGTGTTTTCTTTATCATGTTAGTTGATGGAGTATTGATTTGTTTCGGTGTTTCAAAGACATAACAACACATGGAAACATGTCGAACAATGAATTCCAATGCCAAACACAGATGGATGGCACCATAACAAAACATTTGGAATGTCAATCCATTTTCCATGACCCATAAATGAAGGAAACTTGACCTAGAAATTGAATTAAAGGAATAAGAAGATAGATAAAGTGTAAACTGTTGGAATAAATTGTTTCAAAAATCCTGCAAATGTTTCATTTCCAATCCCGATTTTATTTTGAGAAAAGAAAATTGAGATATCTGATCATGGGCTTTCAACTATGAAAGCCCATGATCTGATGAAGTATATAGACTTCTTAAAATGTCCAAATTTATTAGAACTGAAAAAGGGGACATCCCCTAATTTTTTGAAAGAAAAGGATTGTCCCAAAAAAAGCAAAACCGTTAATTTTTAAAAAAAATATGGTTAAAATGTCAATAATGAAAGCAGAAATATTGTTATTTCTTTTAAACTTACTCTTAACTCATCTTTTGAGTTTAATCAGTAATAGAAACACTGCCTGCACCATCTATTCATGATCAAATACATTTCAGCATTTACAGATTTAGCAGTGCCTGATTTTTTGCACTTATCATTTAATAGTGATTACACACAATATGCTTACAATATTTACTAAACACAAAAATACTGCTGTTTAAATGTCAGTATTGGGTAAAAATAATGATATTCTATTACTTATTTAAAAATGGACATTACAGAAATTTCAGATTTTTAGAGTAATTTTTTCTACTGAGGGACAACTGAAGCTAGATCATTGATCTGTAGTCCATAGCTATTTAAAATTAATCTATTATTGTTTTCCAAGATCTACTAATGTCATTATCTTGTTCTCCTCACCAGCGCCATCCTCTTTAACTATCACACATTCAAAGCTCTTGCTTCTTGGCTTCTCCGTGTTGATGTTGATAAGGATGTCACCAAACTCCAAGCGCAATGCATCAGACAAAGCTGCAGCATTGCGCCCATACACGCGTCAAGATTTGCTGAAAAAATAGTTTGTACATTAATCAGTACAGGAGGGAAAAAATACACATACAAAGTCACCGTAGAATGAAGATGGGAAAGATGAAGGCTGTAGTTACCAAGATGGAAATGATGAAGACAAAAACATTTAAAGGATGATGATAAGAAGATCTAAGAAGTTAAAGATGAAGGTGAGTAGAATGAAGGTAAGAAAGATGTTGATGTGAAGGATGAATATGGGAATAATGAATATGAAAAAGAGAAGGGTGAAGATGTGATATAAGATGAGAATGATTATGGTGAGACGAAGGATGAAAAAAATGATAAAGATGATCTGGGAAAAATTGTAATGTTGAATGTGAAAAAGATAAAGAAAAGAGTGATGAATGTGAGAAGGATGACAATGAGAAAGATGAAGATGAAAAGGAGAAGGTGGAAGATAAAGGTGAGATGGGTAAAGATGAGAAGGAGCAAGATGAAGATGGGAATGATGAAGGTTGGAATTATGAAGATGGAAACATTTAAAGGATGATGGTAAGAAGATCTAAGAAGTTAAAGATGAAGTTGAGCAGAATGAAGGTAAGAAAGATGTTGATGTGACGGATGAATATGGGAATAATGAATGTGAAATGGAGAAGGATGGAGATGTGGAAGATGAAGGTGAGAATGAAAAAGGGAATGGTGAAGGTGAGAATGATGAGTAAAAGAAAGAGGAGGGTGATAAGGAAGAACAAGGGAATGATGACGGTGAGAAGTATAGGGATTAGAAATATGAATGTGAAAGGCTGATGGTGTGACAGATGAAGGTGAGAAGGATGTGGAAATGGAAAAAAATGAATGTGATATAAGAAGAGAATGATTATGGTGAGACGAAGGATGAAAAGAATGATATTAAAAGGTGATCAGGGAAAATTGTAATGTTGAATGTGAAAAAGATAAAGAAAGGAGTGATGAATGTGAGGAGGATGAAGATGAGAAACATGAAGGTGAGAAACATGAAGGTATGGGAGGTAAAGGTGAGAAGGATGACAATGAGAAGGATGAAGATGAAAAGGAGAAGGTGTGGAAGATAAAGGTGAGACAGGTGAAGATGAGAAAGAGCAAAATGAAGATGGGAATGATGAAGATGAGAAGGTTCACGGGCTTTTATTGAAGATGAAAAGGATGACTGTGATATGGAAGACTATGGGAATGATGAAGGTGATAAGGAAGAAGATGAGAAGGATGAATGAGTGGATGATGACAGTGAGAAGGAGCAAGATGAAGATGGGAATGATGAAGATGAGAAAGTTCATGGGCTTTTATTGAAGATGAAAAGGATGACTGTGATATGGAAGACTATGGGAATGATGAAGGTGATAAGGAAGAAGATGAGAAGGATGAATGAGTGCGGGATGATGACGGTGAGAAGGAGCAAGATGAAGATGGGAATGATGAAGATGAGAAAGTTCATGGGCTTTTATTGAAGATGAAAAGGATGACGGTGATATGGAAGACGATGGGAATGATGAAGGTGATAAGGATGAAGATGAGAAGGAGCAAGATGAAGATGGGAAGGATGAAGGTATGAAATATAAAGGTAAGAGCATAGGCCAAGGGTAAAGTAATAGTAAGCTGTTTGGTTTGAAACGGTCTTTACCAATGCTCGATCTTGACGCTAAACTTTGCTTTCCCGGGAAATTTCTTTGCTTTCTTTGGGGAAGTCGATCCTGACTCCTCTTTTTCTTCGATTTGTTTTTCTGAAGTTTTATCTGCTTTAGCATCTGCCACTTTTCTCTTTTGCTTTGGAGCCATCTTACTTATGCTTCGAATCAGTCCCAAGAGATGTTCTTTCTTCCTGTGCCCAAAGGCAGCACGATGTACTTGGGGTCCGAATGTCGTAAATAAAGATAATTGGACCGTCATAAAGTCGCGGTAAGTTTTAAAAGTTAAAAACTTTACTAAAAGTTCCTAAGGAACAATTTCACGACTGTTACTATTATTATGCTAACCTGAAACAGGTTCCATGTTATACTTACTCCTTGTTTGTTATTTTCAGTTTCAAATAAGACGTTTCTGTGTCCATAAACATCGATTATCGGGAAATATTCACATATTATCGCCCACCTACAATTTATTTAATTTGACAAATTCAAATACAAATTCTAATATCATATGAATTAAACTATTGTGTTTCTAGATGGCTTTCTATCAATACAGTATGAGTCAATGCCATTTGGATCTGACATCCAGGTATATAGTAGGGTACAGCAGACAGTTTTGATAATGGCAAACTCCTACACATCCATAGGACATACATGTATTTACATGTAACTGTTGAATCCTGATGAGCAGAATGGAAGCTTCTCATGTACTATTATGATACATGAAGATGGCAGTTCAATATCCTATCTACCCTGAGGAGTATTGGGGACTTGACCCACTATTTAGAACACCTGTGAAATTATACATCAAACATGTTTTAGAGATGCCCGAGTCACCAGCTGCAGGTATAGTGTTGTACTGTTGTACAGTAAAGCCTGTCTAAATTGACCAGCCAAAAGCCTTTCAAGTTTCTTTAATAAGTCAGTGGGATCATTACAAAATTGTGACAGCATATATGAGAAAGTGTCCACATTGAAGGGTGTTTGGATTTGAGTTGGGTAGAATGTACAGCTTTTACCATAGTGTTTAAAGTATAGCAAGTCATGTTTTAGCCACTACTTTGTACATGTATATTCTCACTAATAAACATTGACGTGACATAAATAATAATACCAATAAAATAATTGTTTGCTAATTACAGGTGTGTTCCTATTCAAGAATCATCCTATAGTTAAGGTGGACATACAAGGAACTGTGGTCAGCATTATCGAGAAAACAAAGTTCACATCATATGGAGGTACATGTAACATTAGTCTATTAGCCCTTTAATTGCAATGTGGGATTAGAATTGTGGGGAGCTTATATCTTCTCAAGAACTTGCTATATAGCGGTGTAATAGTTATAGATAAAGGTGGTGACATGCTCTTGTGAGATTTCTATGTAATGACACTTCTTCTTAGTGTTTTGAGCTATCGACCTTGGGGAAGATGGTCTTGATCACTACTATAGCGGTGTCTATTAACGATAGATTTCTTATTTCATTTATTCACCTATTCAACATGTTTTAAATTATAATTGTTTGCATTTATACTACACTTTTATGTATTTCAACTATTGTAACTCTCTATTAATTAGAGGTAAATAAATATACAATACAACAATTAGTACCACAAAGTTCCATAAAAGGAGTACAACGAGTATATCTGAATTTATCACACCTTTTATTTAACAGTCTTCCCAATTTGACCAGACCATCCTATTTAGTAGAAAACCAATGTGTTCCTTTAACCATTAAAATAATATATTTGACATCATAAACCAATGTTTTTGGCCCTCTAAACCTGATCTTACATTACTAGTCCTTATAAGGTTACCTTAAATTGATAAAATCTCCCCCATACATATCAATAATTCTTTATGTGCTATATTTATCCTCAGGATGGATGTTCATGTTCATCTTCATATCACCAATTGAATCTTTCAGTGGATGACAGTACAGGAGTTATCAACTGTTGCTGTTGGAATAATGCAGATGACATTACTGATTTAGACACTTCAGGTACATCACTAATATAACATTATTCAGACAGTTTTTAAGGAAGTCAGCTGGTCATAATTTGAGTTGAAATATTTTTTTTCTGTTAAACCCTCATGTATATCTTTATCGTAAATATACAAACAGGCCAATGTTACATCGCACAATCACACTTTAATCTCACTCAGTAAAACTTCACATCCCACAAATTATACATGCTAGAAAAAAACATTAAAAATTGATCAAGCTTGTAACGTAGCTGCCTTATTTTAATAAGTTTAAATCTGAGCACTCTTCTCAGTTATTATATATCTTAACAAATACCAGGTACGTTTAAGGGGATAATCTCAATATGAAAAAGTCTTCAGTACATGTTTATTTTCAGATCCCCTGAGCAACATTCTGAGGGATTCCCTACGTGATATACCTGGTATTTCTAACGTCAAGTTAGGCGACACACTAAATGTGAAAGGAAAATTGAAAGTGTTCAGGGACAGGAGAGAGATCAGCTCCTCTGATTCACAATGCTGTATCCTTTTAACAATCTTGGTTGTATAAATTCTATGATTTATAGCGATTTCTTTGTGTCTGCAATGTTGCCCTTTGTGTTTTCATAATCAGTTTAATTTGTAAATGTTGACCATGTCTGCATTTAAATAGATTTACCAACAAATGAGAATACAAATGGGGATATCAATCAATGTAAGAGATTAAACTTGTCAGTGATTATCATTTATCAGTTGTGGGTTTTTATTTCATATTTGTCCACAACTTATATTTTTCTTTATTTTTATTTCTTACATAAGAGGTATATTAAGTGGAACACCTTTGGTACCGTACCTCTAGAGTTCCACTCACTAGATGTTCCACATGTTTATTCAACATTGAGTCAGTTGGTCTTTGGACTCTGAAAAATGCTCCACTGACAGAGGTGTTCCACTTTACAGGTTTCACTGTAAACTAAGAAATTCTCCATCTAAAATGTCACTCGACTTTTTTGTGATTATGAGTCAAAGAAAGCATTCTTGAGTTTCAAATTGACTTCTGTGGTAACTTGAAACCATCTTCTAATTTATTCCACTTACCTTTTATTGTTTCTTCAAATATATTCTTTGAAAATCGGATTTTAAGGGTGTTAATCAGGGTAATTCTGTGCCATTTTATCAAAAATCTTGTTGCTATCTAGAAACGAGCAATTGTGATCTTGTTGTTACCTAGGAACGAGTAACTGTGATGTCACGTCACACTCATGTTAATTCTGGAATCACATGGCAGCCATTTTGGAAATATCAAAAAGTTCCCAATTAAAAAGGCTAAATGCTGTTTACAAATTGGAAAACTATGGCAGAATCAACAAAGGGTTAGTGAAGATGGTTTCAAAATTATGCACATGACAATGTATGACTACTAAATGCAGGCAGGGACTTTTAATTGCCAAAAAGTCGAGTGACATTTTAGATGGAGAAATTCTTAGTATCTAAAAAGTCATATATCAATCTTTAACACATAAATAAGATAAAGTACTAAGCTTTGATGAGGAGATCACAAGGATGCTAGAGCTCCCTCTATTGTACAAAGATGTATACCATGTGCCATTTAGGCTACCAGAACGTGTTAAAGAAGACTGGGAACAGATGCAGCTTGAGGGAGAGACAGGGGTCAAGAGCAATGTAAGTGCAATTATTGAATTAATTACATTTGACATAATTTAATGGTGATCAACTTATAATGTATCTTTAAATATACATGTACTGTCTATGATAACCTTGCCCAAGTCAGTCTCTTTTACGTTATCTTGATTCCCATAGCACAGTCTGTATAGGGTACCTTATCATGTCACCAACAAGATATAGTTACAGTGTCTGTAACAGTTATAACACTTTTGTAACAAGTGCAAGTGGTAAAGTATTAGTACCAGGAAATAGAGATAAAAAAGTAAAAGAGAACAATCTAGTAGCAATGTTATCTATTTGATTATTTTCCCTTTATTGACACATCTTCGGGGTAAGCAAGAACTTAGATGCCCAATCAGATAATTAATTTTAATTTAGCATGGATAAGTTAGATATGAGATGGCCTTGGTTGACCTTTTCATGTTAAATTACCAAAATGGAACTCTTAATGAATATTTTAAATGCTACATATATTGTATACTTCAGCAAACTTTGGCTAAGGAGATCAGTGTAGCTGTCAAGTGTCACATATCTTGAATGCAACATATATTGTATACTTCAGCAAACTTTGGCTAAGGAGATCAGTGTAGCTGTCAAGTGTCACATATCTTGAATGCAACATATATTGTATACTTCAGCAAACTTTGGCTAAGGAGATCAGTGTAGCTGTCAAGTGTCACATATCTTGAATGCAACATATATTGTATACTTCAGCAAACTTTGGCTAAGGAGATCAGTGTAGCTGTCAAGTGTCACATATCTTGAATGCAACATATATTGTATACTTCAGCAAACTTTGGCTAAGGAGATCAGTGTAGCTGTCAAGTGTCACATATCTTAAATGCAACATATATTGTATACTTCAGCAAACCCTGGCTTAGGAGATAAGTGTAGCTGTCAAGTGTCACATATATCTTAAATGCAACATATTGTATACTTCAGCAAACCCTGGCTTAGGAGATAAGTGTAGCTATCAAGTGTCACATATCTTAAATGCAACATATTGTATACTTCAGCAATCAAACTTTGGCTAAGGAGATCAGTGTAGCTGTCAAGTGTCACATATCTTAAATGCAACATATTATATACTTCAGCAAACTTTGGCTAAGGAGATCAGTGTAGCTGTCAAGTGTCACATATCTTAAATGCAACATATTGTATACTTCAGCAAACCCTGGCTAAGGAGATAAGTGTAGCTGTCAAGTGTCACATATCTTAAATGCAACATATTGTATACTTCAGCAAACCCTGGCTAAGGAGATCAGTGTAGCTGTCAAGTGTCACATATCTTAAATGCAACATATTGTTTACATCAGCAAACCCTGGCTAAGGAGATCAGTGTAGCTGTCAAGTGTCACATATCTTAAATGCAACATATTGTATACTTCAGCAAACTTTGGCTAAGGAGATCAGTGTAGCTGTCAATTGTCACATATCTTAAATGCAACATATATTGTATACTTCAGCAAACTTTGGCTAAGGAGATCAGTGTAACTGTCAAGTATCACATATCTTAAATGCAACATATATTGTTTACTTCAGCAAACTTTGGCTAAGGAGATCAGTTTAGCTGTCAAGTATCACATATCTTAAATGTAACATATTGTATACTTCAGAAAACCCTGGCTAAGGAGATAAGTGTAGCTGTCAAGTGTCACATATCTTAAATGCAACATATATTGTATACTTCAGCAAACTTTGGCTAAGGAGATCAGTGTAGCTGTCAAGTGTCACATATCTTAAATGCAACATATTGTATACTTCAGCAAACCCTGGCTAAGGAGATAAGTGTAGCTGTCAAGTGTCACATATCTTAAATGCAACATATTGTATACTTCAGCAAACTTTGGCTAAGGAGATTAGTGTAGTTGTCAAGTGTCACATATCTTAAATGCAACATATTGCATACTTCAGCAAACCTTGGCTAAGGAGATTAGTGTAGCTGTCAAGTGGCATATATCCCAAGGACCTGTGAAGTACCTTCACATAGATGACATCCATAACATTGGAGCCATCAAGCAGATTTTAGAAATGGTAGAGACATCAGCAGATGAGGTTTGTGTGTGTGCAATATTCTTTGTTTCTAAAGTAACAGGTTTATGCGTGATATTAAAATGTTCAATCAGAATCTGATGTCTGCTTGTCAAATTTTTATGGAACAAGATTGATGATGGCTTATTAAGCCATTTTTGAACAAAATGGTGTTTTAAAACAATTTTTTTGTATAATTTAGTATATAGAGATTATCCTATATGAGGTTCAGGATATTGGGATTATCCCGAGGCCAATATAATATATCTGCCCGAGGGCCGTAGGTCCCGAGGGTAGATATATTATATTGGCAAAGGGATAACCCCAATATTCGAACCGACTATAGGATGATCTGTTTATCCCATACCAATCACATTGTTCAATTGGCCAAAGTTCAGAAACTTTGCAACCAACCGTGGAATTATTTTAAAATATTCATGTCCAGTTTTGTATTCTTGTCCGTAGCCGTATTTTCCTGTTCAAATCTTTGATTATTAACGGGGTAAGCTCCTTCCCTTCTTTTAAGCATCAAACAGATCGCGATTGTCTGCTATTTTCTCCATTGTCGTTTTCAGTATGCGAACGTTACAAAAAAGAACCAATACGGGAACAGCGATTATGACGTAGCGGGCAGATATACTATATCTGCCCGCTCGGAGCGGGACGTAAAGCTATATCTGCCCGCTGATGAAAATATAAGTTTTTACAAACCGGCTTTATGTACCCGTAACACGTCCAAGTATGGGATAAAACTTTTTATATAAGATCTCAATAACATTGAGTAAGACTTTATGTATTATACTAGAAGTCAAATCAGTTCAACATGTCCTTGAGGCCTTTTGGTGAAATCTCAATTTTGCATAAGCAATTTACTAGTATTTCTGATAAGAATTTAGCAAACTGCATCTTTTTTATTGTGCCTCATTTATTTATCAAAAATAAGATTCATACATCTGATGTATTCATGATTTTGCTGTTTTAGACATCACACACTAATAACCTGGTGGAGAAGGCCATCAGTCTACTGGAAGAAGAAGGTCTTCTTTTCAAAATGGGAGGCCAGAGGGCTACAAGTATGCAGGTCAGTCAGTGTGGGTTTATGTTGGGGCCATGCACTCGTCAAATAAAAATACAGTGTACAACACTACAACAGTCACATAAGCATTTAGTCATGTATCTCATTTCTCTGGAGATGGATTCCTCTCAATTGGCCAGAGATGAAACTTTGTGATGGCCGTCTGCAGATTACTAGCGGTTGGTTCTTCACCTTTTGGTCCATTGGTTTCTGCAGAAATATTGCTTCAATACTAGGGTTGTTAAATAAATACCGAAAAGTAAAAATGGCTCGTGGGTACCCTCATTGACAATGTATATTTGATGAAACTTTAAAAGAACTAAGAAAATATTCATAAGAAAATATGCTTTAATCCATACAAAACCATTTTGAATAGACTAGATGCGAGGAGAGATGGGGAGATATAAAATCACAAAAAGTTAAATATCTTTTCTTGTATTGGACAAATAACATTTTCTTTTACTAGACATATTTTAATTTGCATAACTTTTAGATAAATAGGGGTGATATGAAAATTGAACCACTAAAACAGATGAATATTTAGTTAAAGTGAACTTTCTACTATACTCGCCATGCTATCTGACCTGAACGAGCCATCTGGTGGTGAAACTGGTAACTACATACTCGATCTGAGTCCTTAAATTTGATTAATCTATTGCAAAAAGTACTAGTATGAAATCAGATTAATTATGTTTATGTAGCTAAACTGTCTGAGTGTTCTATAATTGTAGGTGACAGATAATTGTTCGGATTTGGGTGTAACCATCATTGAGACACTGAGACGACAATGCTCCAAGCCTAGGTGTAAGTTGTCAACTCTCATAATTATACTACACTCTATACAGACTGTGCTATACAAAAACAAGTGGTGCGGATATCATGTGCGCAAGGTACGGATATTAACGGTCATTTTTGAATTTGATTTCATGATATTTAACCAACTTAGGCATGTTGGGTACTCACACATGTGTATTGTGTAAAGGTTCCCTAATAAAAAGGAAATTGTATTAATAGATGTGTTAAGTATCATTCTATAAGCGACGCATCAAGCAATAATACTCTCTCCAAAGCAAATAATTTGAAATTGCAGCTTTTTCACAACGTAAACAGCATTCATTCAATATTGGTGATCGAGATGACTTATCAATACAAATTATTTTTGCATTTTGAAAGTTGAAAGGTTTCTGTGTGATTTTATACAAAGTGGGAAAAATTAAACAAAAATGTACAACGTCTATATAAGCGGATCACCCTTGGATATCCGTAAAATGACAATATCCACACCGCTTATTTAGAGGTAGCACATATCCGATAAATGTTTTCAATTTTTTAAAAATTCACATACTAGAAAGTTTATGACTTTCAAAATCCAAAAATATTTTTATTGATTGGTCATCTAGATCACCAATACTGAATGAAGGCTGTAAACTGTAATAAAGCAGCAATTTCAAATTCTTTGCTATGGAGCAAGGATGAATGCTTAGTGCGTCGTTAAAGAATGAAGAATACAACTATAGACAAAATCTCCCTTTTATTAGGTATCCTCTTAATGCCTTTAAGTTCATGAAATATCACAAATTCAAATTCAAAAATGACCGTTAATATCCGCACCTTGCGCACATGACATCCGCACCGCTTGATTTCCTATACCACAGTCTGTATAGGGTACCCTATCACTATGTCACCAACAAGATATAGTCACATATAGTTATATAGTAACAGTGTCTGTAACAATTGTAACACTTTTGTAACAAGTGCAAGTGCTAACGTATTAGTACCATCAAATAGAAATATAAAAGTAAACAATAAAAGAACAATCTAGTAGCATTCAAGTACATAAATGAAGGTGGTGACACTTTTTAACATTCCTGCCTTAAACATTAAAACATCATTTCTAAGAATATACTCAAATAACATTAAACCTCTGTAATCAATCCCTACATGTACATGTACCTCACCTATGACCAGTTAATTCTATGCATGTTTTACTGATGTAATTCCATTTATGCTATGCACTGTAGTTTTAGGGAGATAAGATGGTAAGATATATCCTGCACCCTGATTTTGCCGTTTCCATATCCAGAACCTCAATTTCTTCAAGATATCTTCCCACTTCTGGTAATTTCACTTTAACTGTGGTGTGAAACTGTACTGGGTTTAGGATAAAGCAGTTATATATGGTTGATTTTAAAATGGGGTAAATCCTTCATTAGATATGCATATCTACCTTGATTCCCTTTGTTCCTCATTTAGATATGCATATCTCCCTCTGGGTAAACCCCATATCCAAAAAGACCCAGTACATAACCCTTAATGTTATATATGTGTTTTAGATGAGGAAACTGGACTTCACTTCCTACGCATCTTGGATGAGCTTCACAAGACTGTAACATACAACAAGCTGACATTACATGCTCTAAAGAGATGCCTTTCTAAGCTAGAGGACAATAGCGATATTATAAGAGTGACAGAGACACATTATGTTGCTTATACTTAGTGACATTGCACTAATAGACACATTATGTCACTTATATATAAGTGTCATAAGATTTGATTATGTCACTTATACTTAGTGACATCAGATTAACAGAGACGCATTATGTTGTTTATACCTGGTATCATCAGAGTAACAGACACGTTATGTTGATTATAATGACGTTCCTCAAAGAAATTATAATGACATCTCTCAAAGAAACAGACACGTTATGTTGATTATAATGACATCTCTCAAAGAAACAGACACGTTATGTTAATTATAATGACATCTCTCAAAGAAACAGACACGTTATGTTGATTATAATGACATCTTTCAAAGAAACAGACACACTATGTTGCATAAACCTAGTGAGATGAGACAACATTATTGCTACATATGTTAGTGCTCATAATATTTATTAGTGAGGTATTTACATACATATACATGTACATGTAACTCTTACATGTTATATTATATTATATTACTGTACAACATTGTTTGGTTCATCGTTTGGTGGTCTTTGGGTTTAACATTTACTATTGCACTGTATTGGTTTATTAAAGTGGCTCTGGAGGTAAATTTCAATTCTTGATAACATTTTAGTAGTATTGAAATATTTCTTTCACGCAAAAATGCACCACAGGGGAAAAAATTATTGTAAATGGAAATTTTAAAATGTTAGTTTTAAAAAATTTCATTTGAGAAATTGCTAATCATTTTGATACAAAATAACAATCAATAAATGAAATTCTGCATTGTCACTTTAAGAGAGCTTCAAATTGGCTAAAATACAATGTATGAGGTATTGAATTGTAAAGGTGGAAGACTTAAAATTCAGCTTTTTGAGCAAAATTATTCTCTATTAACAGAGTTGTGGGCCATTGGGGACTATGAAGAACAACAAAAAGAACATTGACTCTCACTTAAAGTGACATATCAACTTGTTTGTAAAATTAATATCAGTCAAAATCATAGAATATTGCATGTACATATCCTTGATAAGTGGTTCAAGAAGTTTGAAGTCCCATTCTGACTCTACCCCCCTCTCGATCTCCCCAAATTCTAGTCAATAAACTTGAATTAGATTGTTTCTCTATAACATTTGTAAAAAATTGCAAATATAATATGTTGTTGAATAATATCTTAATTGTAATGTTTACTTCAATATATACTGTTTCTCCAAGTAGAAGGGAATAAGTGATCAAAAGAGAATATCACAATTTCTTTCTTTTAATTTATCACTTCATGCCATGTTAATATTTCAAAAAACACAAGTTTTGACTATACTTTAGTATAATCCTTTAACTTGTAAGGCTATTTGACAAAAAGATTTGAAAAAGTTTAACGCTTCTATTTCAATTCTAATGAAATTGAATGTTTCTGCATTTTAAATCTTAGAACTATAATACTGTATTTCATTAAATATCTCAAATGTTTCAAAAATAAGAAAATTAGGTGAGACCTTGGAGATATTGCTTCCAACATTTTCCACTCTATCCCTTCTACTTCCTTTAACATAATGACCATTGTATCAGTGTGGGTCTTAGGATTTTTCTGTAACTCGACAAGTGACAATTGACTTGTGTTTTTACACTCGCCAATGAAAAATTACACTCGCCACAGTGTTGCCACTGATGATAAATACATGTATACATGTAATATGTATATTCACAGTTTTCTTGTGAATAAAAATCTTTAAAAAGAAAGTAGTATGATGAAAGTACTTTAGATTGACTTTGTTCTATAAAATTTGACTATGCCAAACTTCATGTTTTTCATGTTAGACAATGTGGCAAGGCACTTCAATTTTCACTCAAGTCTTAATATTTACATCCGCCTGGAGCTACTGTCGAGTGGATATGACCTACAATGTTGTATGTAACAGAATGCAGCGTGTCCATAAAGTCTCTAGAATTTCAATACAAAAGTTGTATAAGGAGTCTTCATGGACACTCTGTACATCTATTGATAACATACGTATTCACTTACAGTGCTGTGTAAGCACCTTGTTAAGCAATAACTTCAATATTAATTTCATACACTGGGGTCCATGTTCGGAACACCCAAACTAATAATATATTAAGGATATATGAAAAATAAACTGTTCTCTTTAAATTAGATCATTACATGTACATGTTATTAACATACAGGGTGTCCCGAAAGTATGGGGCCCCCCTAGGCAGACATATACCAGTGTCGTCATAGTATGTGTCATATATCATTTTAAAGCTTATCCAAAGTTACATTGATTCACCAAGTATCATGGTTCATCTCTCAAATGTGAACAAATTACAGGCATTTCAAAATTTAGTGTTTGGTCAAAATTAAGGTCAATTTTACACCAAATCACTAGTCAATGTGTCCTTCCGGGCCATCTTAACAGCAGCAATTCTTTTCGGGTCGGATGGATATTGAGTTGGAAAAAGAGAATGGTGAGGGTAGAAACTCTAAGGAAACTCTTCTAAAGTGCTTTAACCAGGTTTTAGGAGGGTTATAAAATTCCACACCCCTATTTGAAGGGCTTTTAAGGTCATATCTGAAAATAATTGCTGCTGATAACATGGCCAAGGGGGGACTCATTGACTAGTAGTATGGTGTAAAATTGAAATTTATTTTGACAAAACACTAACTTTTAAAATGACTGTAACTTTTTCCCATTTGGGAGTTAAACCATGATACTTGGCAATTCAATGTAACTTTGGATAAGCTTTAAAATGATATATGGCACATACTATGAGGACACTGGAATATGTCTGCCTAGAGGGCATCATACTTTCGGGACACCCTGTACATGTACACTTCGAGGTATTCTTGCCCAAGTTGGTCTCTTTTACTTACATTGGTCAAGATCAGATAAGTAAAAAATACCGACTTGGGCAAGGCTAATTTGGAGGCAGTTATGAGTATTTCAATGACAAAAGTATCCACTAAAAGAATATCAACATGAAAAATGAAACTAAAAAAACTGCATTGCTATGGAACAATACCCAGGCATTTATAAATACACAGGGTGTCCATGAGGTCTCTTTACACTTTACACCGACTTGTAATTGTAAAAAGAATTTAATATGCACCCTGTATATTGTAGTGAAACAGTTCTATTGACTACATATATATATAAAAAATAAGTTAGAACCCATAATTTCCTCATCAGTTTTCTTAAATAATTCAATCTTGTGTTCATGAGTCTATGCTTCACTTTCGACAGCTGGTTTAGTTACAGGCACATTTTCCGATGTTACAGAGTTATTCTGTTGGGTCACATTGGTATTTCCACTGCTTTCATTGTTCACATTCGGTTCCTTGATTTCATTGACTTCCGCTATCACATTCAGGGTTGTTTTTGAAATTGGAAGACGTTCACTTTTCTTAAAGTTTATTTTATGTTTGGTGAGTAAGTTTTGTAAGGTCTCTATTTCTAGCTCCTGCTCAGAGCAATAAGTGCGAAATTTGGCAAGTTCCTGCTCAACAGCTTCCCGGGCTTGTTTCTCACGATTGAGTCGCTTTTCTGCTTGCGTCTTCACAGACAAAATAATACCTGGAATGGTGAAATACACATATATGATGAGTTGGAAGTTTTATTGCAAGCCAAATATGTCGAATTTTCTAGAACTATTTTGTGGATTAAGTAATAAGGCAATTTCCATTTAGGACAGTGAGTAACTTTATTAGAATATCAAAAATATATCTTGATAATTGATAATAACAATGTTCACGAGAATAGTAAAACATTCATTAAATGAACTTCAATACACAGACAAAGTAAGGTAGAAAAAAGTTACTTAAATTGATTCAAATGCATACACTTATTAAGATATAAAAATGAAGAGTACACATAGTGATGCTTATTAATTCTATTCAAAATTAAATAACAAGTTCCCAATATTCCAGACATTAATATTAATACTTAATCTTACCATTTAATATTCTGGTCACTCGCCAGAGCCTCAACAAAATCAGCAGTCCGATTCCGCCAGATACGGCCTCATTACCAATAAACGCAATATCCAGTGCAAACGATACAATGACCACAACTGCGTCAAACACCTCCATCTTGTGCTTGAAGAAATCAAGTCCCATGGCATACACTTTAACAATGATCTCAATCATGAACAAGCTTAGGATAGCGATACTGAGGAAATGCAGCACCTCTGCTACAACGCTTACTGTCGGGTGACGTTTTGTCACTGATGTCCCCCCTCCCTCTTCACCCTCTCCTCCTCCAGAGCGGATTTGATGATCGAAAACTCCAAGGTCAATTAACAGCTCTGATATGACAAGCAAACAGTCAATAATCACGAGAATAATAATCGTTATTTGAAACTTGTTGCCGTGTATGATATACCTCAACTTCTCCCTGCATGTCAACGCAGGTTTGTTGTCTTCAGAGTCTGTTGTTATGGTGCTCGTCGTGTCAGATTCAATGATCCTATCAAGATCATCCCCGACCTTCTTAAAGCCATCCATTCTCATCTGGAAGTACATAAAGAGTGTAAAGATTTGTTGTCAGCCAAATAAATAAATAAAACATAAGTTTTTTACCATGCCAAAAGGAAAATATGTGTGAGTACATTCTGTACATGAGTTTCTTATTGAAACAAGCGACTCCTTGTGACAATTCTTTCTCGGAAAACACAAAGAATATCTAAAACATGTAGATGTGCAGTAATGCATGTCATGTATTAATCTCAAGTGGGAGGGGCCTCTGTGAGGTTTTAGAAGCTCCATCCCTAAATTTCACCCTTTTAAAAAATTAGACCCAACTTTTGAATACTTACCTAATATTGGAAACAATCTATGATCTCTGCTACTCAGTAAATACACAGTACATGTCTAATATGTCATAAGTCTTACAGATCATTCAAGTTCAATCCTTTGCACACATTTTTCTATATATAGAAGTGTGTGTATTATACAAAAGATCTGTATCCAAATTTACGCCCCCTTTAAGTCGTACACATAGGTTATAACAAAGACCAAAGTCTATGTCAAGAATACAAGGTCAGGAAGTTTGCTGAATCAATTGTCTCAAGTTACAGATAAGATACAAGTTCAAAACAAAGACAAAACTAGGTCAATTTGAGTATTTGATAAATTCAACTTCAGAAGAGTTTTTCTAGCTCTTGTCATAGAGGAAACATAAAAACAGTGTGAAAATACTTACTTTGTATATCTGTACGTATGTAGACACATATACAGTGTAATATGAAGACCAGTTTGCCCTAAATAATAGAGTTTTAAAAGTTGTTTTTTGTTTGTAAGTTTGTTTACTAAAATGCTCAGTTCTCGTGCACTTTGACACAAAGACTTTGGTCACGTGACAATTCAATATATCTCATTTTACACCTCTCCTAGTGGTCCATGCATGCCTATAATCCATCAAACAATTGTCATTCATAGACTCATAATGATGTATGTGTTGTTTAGATATTTGGGTGCTCAATGATATGAAAAATGTTGAACGAGATGTTTGGAGATTTTGTACGATTTCAAGATGGAGTCCAAGGAGGATGCGAATGTCGTATTAGCGAAGAAATCTTCTGATTTACAGAGGATGAAGATTGAAAAACTCATGAAGAATCCGGTATGTACAAAATAAGAAATTATTCTGAAATAATAGACCACGAAGGTTGAATATGTACAGAAAAATAACGAGTATAGTTGAAAAAAGTAAAGTAAATTCTCATTTTCACATATTATCGCTCACTTTCAATTTGTGCCATCAAGTACAATGTCTACAATGGCAAACTGGTGCTTATTGTACTTCTTTTTCATTTTTTATGCATTATACCTGCTATTGGAATGCTCTCAAAACCCTTCGACCTGCACCTATTTTGGGGTGTCCAAAAGGAACAGATCTATATTTGGTGCTATTTTTTGCCGATGTCAAAGAGCACTAGGGGCATTCTGCATGAGGTTCCATTTTTTGGTTTAAACTTTTGCGCATCCGGATGTTTTAAAGTATTCAATTCCCATGATTCAAATTGCCCTTTTATCTGTTGCAGGCTGTCACACATCCTCCGAACACAGGCCTCCAGAACTCGTACCTCCTTCTTCCTAGACGTGGATCCACGGCTCTAGTGACTTGTTTGACTCTCGGAGTTTTGATAGGGTCACTAGAGCCGTGGATGCACCTGTATTAAAATCCTCAAACTTCAGAAAATTAAATTTTTTTGAACCCAGCGCTACTTTGGAGTTGATTTCTTTTGATTCCCATTTGTTTTTTTTAATATATTTGTCCCAATGTAATGTTATATGATAAACTTACCATACCATAGTTGTTATGCACGATGTAATTGCGCTGATACTATAGGAAAATCATCACTTTTTAAATTATTTCAAAATTTTCTATAGCGGCACGAGACTTCGCGAGAAGAGATAGGGAATACCCTAATGTATACGATGCCATCTATTTTACTACATAAAGTTCATATCAATCAGACTGCATAGTAAGCAATACTGTAGATTGGGTTAATTTGGCGCCCGCTTTAATTTGGCGAATTTGGCGAAATTGAAAAATTCGCCAATATAAATCTCCGCCAAAATTTAGAATGAATCCCCGGGAATCATCTAGGGTATTTCGTCCAGTGTATTTAGGTCACTTCCGGTTTATTTTTTCCAAAAATATGAAAAAATATCTCTCATAAATTGGCTCAGAACTGGTCAGTCACTCATTAATACTCAGGGAAAAGTAGCAGCATCGATTGAGGTGTAAAATGTAAAGGATGATCTCACAAAAATGTACAAACGTGGTGAATATCGCCAGTGGTCCTCAAAAGAAAAAATGAACATAGCCAAACATGCCCATTTACTTGGTAATTCGCAAACAGCACATAAGTTTAACATTCTATTAACATTTTTTTGCATATCCGCCAAATTAAATAGCCGCCAATATGCCAAAAATGGCAAAATCGCCAAATTAAGTAGCGCCAAATTAACCCAATCTACAGTATTCAACAGTGTATCCCCGGGAGTGAATCACACATGTTGAAGTTTAATTAAGGAATTCTCATTATAGACAGTGACTTTTATTATAGTTTCTAGTTTTAATAAGGAATACCAAACAGAGATAGTGACTCTTAATTGTTTAGACCATATGCAGATTCATTTAGTCATGTGACTTGTGACATCACGCATGCGCATAAATTATGTAGGTCAACTCAATTTTGAGAATTCGTTCGACTTTCACTCACCTGAAAAATACAAAGACACTTCTTGATATAATTTCCACAATAAACATGATTACAACTAGGGTCAATTTGAAGACAAACAACGTCGCTACATAGTGGTCCAAAAATTTTAAAGATTAAGGTAAGGAGCTCCGAGAAAAAGCAAAAACAACCGATCCGTTGTTTTTCAGAATCTCAACTTGCCTAGGGTTTTTAATGCTTGGTGATGCGCCTCTGGGGCCATGACAAATCTCAGATATATAAATAAAGGCCCAGAGGCGCATGAATGCACCCACCTTCTTCCAAGAAGAAGGAAGGAACTTTGTGGATGATGTCTGGAACCCTGCGTTCGGAGGATGGCTGTCACACAATTTGCGTATTTGTCACGCATTTGCTGAAGAAATTGAAGTCATGCCTGTTTTTTTTGCATGACAGAATATGTCAAGCAAATTTTTCAAATCATTGTCAAGCAAAGATTTTTCAGTTCATGATGAAAAAAACGAATGACGAAACAAACAAACGCTGAAATAATTAAACACAGTTTGATCAGAAGTTTCATGCGAATTGCGAATATTGCATTTGCTTTGTTTTATCTCGTCCCACCCCCCTTGTCACTGGTTTTAGGTGTTCCCTGGTTGACAGGCCTGCGGTTAGGTTTTAGTTTCTACACTGTTGGGCCCAATTGATATACATTGTTCTGTTATAACACTTCTGTACATTCTTTTTGTTTTTGTACTAAGCAAAAATATTTCTGCAACATAAGGTAATTATGGGGAGGGACTGCTGTGAAATTTATAAATGTAAGTGATACCTACATGTATCTCAAATTAATGTTCTTATTTTAAGTATAGATGCCGCTTGCATTTTAATAATTTGAACAAATCAAATATAAATGATTGAATGCTCGCGTGCAGTAGACCTGATTAATACATTTTCAGATAAATAAGCTTGAGTGGTTTTGCTTAAGTCACAATTTACCTGCCAAAGGCTGTTGACTGATTCTGAATAATCAGATCAGTCCAGTCTTTAAACTAGGTACATGTTAATCACAATCATTCCAGTTTATCTAGTCCCGCACGCTACTGTATGGATTTATTTACCTATGATTTATCTATCAATTGATTGTAGTCGGTTCATTGGGTCATTGACAGGTACAATGTTATCTATTTTCTAGAGTATACATATTTAGTATGCATGTCATATATTTCAGGAAAAGCCTGTATTCATACCAGAGCGGCCACAGGAGAAAGGCCCCAAAGCCACACCAGACTTTGTCAGAAATGTTTGGGGTAAGTACACAAAACTAAGGAAATAAACAAGTTCAAAGAGTCATGCAGATTTACAAGGTATTGAGCAATAAGGACATGCTCATATTTCAAAAATGACTTGATGTAATTGCGGGGACAAGCTTCTGTGTTATATCAAAGCTGCATGTTTGATTATGACATTTCACGATTTTGACTCGATTTCTTAATAAGTAAATTCTAGAAAATCTCACCCGAAAAAGTCTTTCTAGGGCTGCATTTTTGAGTCACCCTGTATAATTGAAGATATCAAATAATGGTAGCCTTTCCGTGTCAAACATATGGATAATCTACAGTATGATCATCTGATAATAACAATCAATTAACATTAGTCATAGTTTATTTATATCCATTACAGTGGTTTCATTACATCGGGCTAAATAAATGAAAACAACAGGCAAATTTAATGGAAATCGTAACTTTGAAAAGTTGAAAAGACCCTAAAAACAACAAGCAATTTTCACTGGCTGTTTTCACAAAATCAACTTTTCCATGTTAAAGTTATGATTTCGATTAATTTTGCCAGTTGTTTTCATGCTGCTAATGAAACCCCTGTATTTATTACATGAACAGGTTCTAGTGCTGGAGCTGGTAGCGGAGAATTCCATGTTTACAGAGGAATCAGACGGAGAGAATATGCCAGGCAGAAATTTCATGCAGAAAAAACTGAAGAGGTAGGTAGACCCGCTAGGCAGGTAGGCTGATGGTGGTACATTCTAGTTATTGGTCATCTAGGAATGAAGTGAAATGTGTACTCAACTGTACTGCTAGAGAAAATCCCCTTAAATTTATGATTTGGTATCATTGTTACCATTTATTCTGATACTTTTTAAGCATATTAGTCACTCTTGAAGTAGTGCTAAGTACATTGTAACCCTATTGTATGTTGAAAAGGTGTTCCAAATAAAAACAATATTTATAGCATTACTTAAAATATAGCATTGTAAGAGGAAATATTTAGATTTTCTCGAACCTCGCATCATGAACACGTGTCATATTCCGGAACTTATGCATTATTCATTACTGTGACAACAGTCTTAAAACATTAAATTTCTCTTTCAGGATAAGAAAAATGAGGAGTATCAAGAAAAATTGGTGAAAAACAAAATAGCAGCTGATGACAGGACAGCAAAGAAACGAAATAAAAGGTATAATAAATTTTAAAACAGAGAGGTTAGGCACTCATGTTTAAGATAACTTGTGTACATAGAGAATGATGGTATTCGAGGGTTTAGTTTTTCCCTGTGAAGTAGTTTGTTGCATGATTGGGGGTACCAGGTATGTAGGTATTATGAAAAAGGTTTCACTGAGGCCCCTGGAAAAATTAACTGAGAGGGGGATAGTAATTTCTTGGGGTCATAGTATTACATGTTCACATTATCATAAACATTATCATAAAACATGTACAGTGAAACTTGTATATCTGAACTCCTCTTTAATCCGAACATTTCAGGATGTGAACACTTTTTCTCGATCCCAAATATTTCCCATTGACTTACATGTTTGTAAAACCTTGAAATGTGAATACTAACTAATCTGAACATGTTTGATCAGTCTCATAGGTGTTTAGATTAGACAGGTTTTCACTGATAATGTCAAATTAACTACAGTAGAGAAACACTAGCAGAGGTTTTAAGATGTTTTACTTGCACGGGTTTCGCCTATTATCTTTGTATTTATATTATTATCAAGGTAAAGTGTATTTGGTTTTGTAACTTGTACGTAAGCTTAACACTCATATTGAAAATTTATTAAATTTGATTTTCTTTTTTGTATCTCTAGGCTTAAAAAGAAGTGGAAACAGAAAAATAACAAGAAACAAAAGCTGGACAAAAAAGGTATGTAAATAATTATCAAGCACTCTGGAAAAAGCGATACATTTTGAAATTTTGTTCATATCTTTGACAAATGAAAGTTATGCATAACATTCAGCAACTTGAAAAATGTGTAATTTTGAATTGATATTGCAATATTCATTTATTTACTATATAAGGAATGTACATTTACTAGATGTAATACACAGTGACACCACGAGGCATAGAATTATATACTCACAAAACTTATAGAAGTGTGTGTGAATGTGTAATATTTCCCAATGATGCTAAGGGAGAGAGTTACTGAGACAATGAGAAGTTATGAACATGAACATTTTAACATTTCACATTTAGTTTGATAGATTTATATTCCTATTTAAATTTAACAACCAGCAAATTACAGTCACCAACCTTGGGGAAGGTATCCTGTAATGGATCTTCCTGTGGTGATCACACAGCTGGGCCTGACTTCAATATTGAATAATGAATAAAACCTACCAATTAGAACACATATAAGTGGATCCTTTTTAAGTGGAATACTTTTAATTACAAGTAGAACTCTTCGTTTTCAGTTCCATTGACTCAATGTGAAACGCACCCTTATGCAAGCTTGTTCTACTAATACAGATTTTACTGTGTTCAAGATTATACAAATAAATATGCATATTCTTTTTTCAGTGGAATCTGAGTCTGAGAGTGAAGAAGAATCAGAAGATGATAATGTTGCCGAGGAAACAAACAATGATGCTGGTGACCATGGTAACAATGACACTGGTAACCAAGGTGACGATGTACAAAAACAAACCAACTCTGGTGATATATCAACAGTACAAGATATTGGTAATGATAATGAACTGAAACATGTCAAAAATGATGACATAAATGAGACTGAGAAACAGGAGAAAGACACCAATGTTGGTGATGACAGCAATGACATGGTTTCTATTGTAAAAAGGGAGAAAATTGATAAACTGAGTAGCATTAGTGAAACAATTGAAGAGGAAGTTGTAGAGGATACCGAATCAACACATACAGAGGCTCAGATCAAACAAGAATCTGTTGAATCAGTGAATGAAAATACATCATGACAAAAGAAACTATGATATTATTCACATTGTCATATATATCATAGAGGCACAATTAAGAATAATAACAATAGAACTTGACTTAAATAAACATTACTGGGATCAGCTTAAAAGGGCAATAAGGACTGTAGAGAAAATAGGAAATTTTCTTAATTTTTTCTGAGCTATCAAGGCAACAACATCTTCTTTGACATACCTATTTTCTGAAAATGTATGGATAAATTATCAATTTCAGCATTAAGAAGTGTAAATTCAGTTCAAAGCTTCAAAAAGGGGACTTCCACTTTTATAATTTTAAGATCCACCATGTTTCAAGAGGAATATCAGCTAAAATAATATTTATCTAGGGGGTTTCTTTGTAGATAATAAAAATAGATGTTAGTCTTGATGAAATATCCAAACTTAAATATATTTTGACACTGGTCCATGATCGTTGAATGACCCCTCTGCACTTATTATTGCACCTTTAAAGTTTCCATATTTTGAAAATGTTTTACAACATAGGGTATTATATCAAACATTTATGATAATCCCTGCCATCTTTCACTCCACCAGTTCCTTAGAATTTTGTGGATTAATATGGCCATATTGACATTTCACATTCTAGATCTCTAGTGCTCATATATACATGTTTTAATGTAATATAGCGTTGTATCATGTATTATACCAGTCTCAATATGTGAATAACAATTATTAAGCCAAATAATGAAATAAACTCTAGTTGTAATTTGTAAAAGATAGAATCTTAGCAAAATGTTACTAAAGTCAACCGAATTTGTAAATTAATACTGAATTTTCATGTCATATTTATTTAATATCCATGTTTAAAAGGAAGATATCCAATGCAATTCAATAACTTAGGCATCAACTCTCTAGGGGCGTATAAATTGAATGTCGGTTATCCGATTCTATTCAATGTCTGAGAGAGGTATCCACTGTCTAGTACTGTATGATTTGAATTTTCGTTACTAGTATCCAATGTTATTTAGTGTCTGAGGACGGTTTCTGATGTTTAGAAATTGATTAAGTATCCAGTATTACTACCCAGACATTTTGATACCATGGATGAGTTTGCTTAAAGCAATGATTGGTCTCGGGGTTTTTATCTAATGGTACAGTTTCCATATAGCTTTGAAATCTCGCTAAATCTCGTTTTTGTGAGATTTTAAGAGATTTGCATATTAGACCTCTAATGATTTTAAGAGATTTGCATATTAGACCTCTAATGATTTAAAGAGATTTGCATATTAGACTTCTAATGATTTTAAGAGATTTGCATATAAGGCCTTTAATGATTTTAAGAGATTTGCATATTAGCCCTCTAATGACCTCTAATGATTTTAAGAGATTTGCATATGAGACCTCTAATGACTTACTTTTTCCTCTTTCAGATTTAAATATTTGAATTCCGTGAAATGTTTCCTCAAAGAATAACTTATTGACTTATACAGTTATGTCATTTAAATACATGACTGAAATATGTCAAAAATGATGACATAAATGAGACTGACAAACAGGAAAAAGACACCAATGTTGGTGATGACAGCAAAGACATGGTTACTTTTGTAAAAATGGAGAAAATTGATAAACTGAGTAGCATTAGAGAAACAGTTGAAGAGGAAGTTGTAGAGGATACCGAATCAACACATACAGAGGCACAGATCAAACAAGAATCTGTCGAATCAGTGAATGAAAATACATCATGACAAAAGAAACTGTGACATTATTCACATTGTCATCGTATATATCATAGATGCAAAATTAAGAATAATAACCATAAAACTTGACTTAAATAAACGTTACTGGGATCAGCCTAAAGTTTCTATATTTTGAAAATGTCTTACAACATAGAGTCGATATGATATCAAACATTTATGATAAACCCTGCCATCTTTCACTCCACCAGTTCCTTAGAATTTTGTGGATTAATATGGCCATATTGACATTTCACATTCTAGATCTCTAGTGCTCATATATACATGTTCTAATGTAATATAGCGTTGTATCATGTATTATACCAGTCTCAATATGTGAATAACAATTATTAAGCCAAATAATGAAATAAACTCTAGTTGTAATTTGTAAAAGATAGAATCTTAGCAAAATGTTACTAAAGTCAACCGAATTTGTAAATTAATACTGAATTTTCATGTCATATTTATTTAATATCCATGTTTAAAAGGAAGATATCCAATGCAATTCAATAACTTAGGCATCAACTCTCTAGGGGCGTATAAATTGAATGTCGGTTATCCAATTCTATTCAATGTCTGAGAGAGGTATCCACTGTCTAGTACTGTACAATTTGAATATTCGTTACTAGTATACAATGTTATTCAGTGTCTGAGGACGGTCTCGGATGTGTAGAAATTGATTAAACATCCAATCTACCAAGACATGTTGATACCACGCAAGGATTTGCTCAAAGCAAACGCATGTGACTCTATGTAACTCTGCGGTTTTGAATTCAGTTAAATGTGTTCTCAAATGATAACTTATTGACTTATACAGTAATGTTATTTAAATCATTTTCTATTACTCTCAACTTTACCATTCAAGTTTTAGACAGATTCAACCCCCGGGATTCAACCAACACTTTTTGATAAATCATGAAATATAGTCACTTTTTCAAGATTTAACACATATGAGTCTATGGCAATCTGGCCAAAATAAAAGTTGAATAAAAGATGGCAGCGCTAGTTTTCATTTATTTATTCAGCTATATAGAAACTATAATTTTGTATTATTTAGATGTTTAATGTAAACCATACCATGAATGTCTATACATGATCATAGTCATTTTTATGTCACCACCAGTGTTCTGCGGTTGGTGTTCGGTGTCTGTAACAAATGGCAGGTTGTGACAGTTTGCATGTTAATGGCTTGCACGCAACTTGTTAGAGTACTTTGTTTTTATATTTGGTAAGTTCACATATATTTATTGTTTCTTTGATTAAGTACATTAAAAGTTAAAAATGTCCATTGTTCTCCATGAAGTACCTTGCGTATACTCCAAGTAATCCTGTAGCCAATCCAGACTCGTGGGACAAGCAACCATCTATAATGTAAAATACATGGTTATCAGAAACAGGAGTGCTTTGGTGTTTGGGTGCGAGTGATGAAATTCCCTTGAAACTTCAAAAAATCATGCATGTACCTTGTTCTTACCCAGAGACATCGTAATATAGTTTCTAGTTAATGAAATGAAGTAGCGTATTAAAAAGTAAGCCACTAAAACAATGGAAAAGTCCTTTTCTACCACATACTGTTTCGATTGGATGATTCTTGTGACGTCATGTCGTTGATGGATGTCATATTAAATGCGACATTTTTGCATATACATTTACTTTAAAATACAGAATACTGGTATAGTAATTGTTGAAATAATTATTATTGTTATTATTATTATAGGCATGGTTACGCTCAATACATCAGTTTAGTGCAAATCTACCCTCAAACGTCAAGTTTTGAAAGCGAGGCAGATGCATGCAGGGGCGTAGGAAGGTGTCAATTCAACACTACGCAAATAAATATCAGAAAATTGTGTCAAATTTTCTACCTATATCAGAACACCTAGTACTATTTTATGCTTGTAAAATGTTATTTTTATTATAATCTATTCTTATAATGTTCTTTAAATGTTCAAATGTTTTTCATTATTTATAATCACGATGGAAAGCCGATCTTTGATATGATTTAAAGAAAATGTCAAATATGTAACACGATATAACGCAGGTTTGCGAAATGAAATTCAGGTAACAGATTTCATTTGGAACGGTAGAGTGTCCTAAAATTCATAATAATCGGAAATTGAACATACGTGAGGAATAGCTGACATGAATTCCAGCCATGTTGTTATATATCCGAATTTATTGACATTAGAATTCTACATCGCCACAGACCTCGGAGTAGTCAGAAAAATACAACAATTTATGTAACATGTTGATAACATTTACACTAGTTCTCTACTTAATAGCATTGTTATTATTGAATTATTTCAGCATTTTGGTACATTAGAAAATACGATCCATCATATTTATTCAATTAACGTTTTTAGGCGATGTGGAATTCTAATGTCAACAAATTCGGAAATATAAAAACTATGGCCTTTTAATTAGTGCACTTAAAAGAAGTAAAATCAACCAAGCCTTATATATATTTCCCTCAGGTCATGAATTAAAAATATGACTGAAGAAAGTTGGGAAATTATTAAGGCTGCATTTTTGTACATGCTTTTTGACCGCAAGCATGATTTTAATCCTAAAATTAGCTAGATTGTGCTTATACCACAATACCATGTTCAAAATACCACTGTGTAGAAAATTTGAATATTACACAACCGTATTTTCACTTGCACCGCGGTCGTAGGAAAATGCAACCTAAGCCTTTTTCAACACTACGCATTTTTTCGCGTACATTGTTCCTACGACACTGCATGTGTTCGACAAGAGATTGCATCTTTCTGATGAACTACGAATTCGAGTATTAAAGGAGATATACTAATATTTGATATCAAGGGCTTAGTAATACTGATTCATTGTCAGGCTGATCAAATATTTCATTAAAGCACTTTAAAATGCCACGTTGCAGGTGAAACGATCACAATTTATCTCGATCGAGTTCCTCGGGGCTTTCTACATTTTCAGTGGCGCTAATCACGGCATATGAAAAATGATCTCATTAATTTTGCGTTACGCAATTGCGTAGGTATTTTAGATTACTCTCTCGATGTCGTTCACATAACTATTCCACGTATCGCTACCATTTTTGTGTGGGGTTGTCCCAAAAGAGCTCGTTATCGTACGTCAAAAGATTTGTTTCGGGAATGTTTTTTGGGGTTTGAAAATCCAAAACTGTTTCAGAAAGGGACTTAATCATTTGTAATTATTATGTCAAATCTCTCTCTACTCACCAAACAGAACTTTACGTTACCCTCAAGCTTTCTCTCTACTCACCAAGCAGAACTTTACGTTACCTTCAAGCTTTCTCTCTACTCACCAAAAATAACTTTACGTTACCTTTAAGCTTTCTCTCTACTCACCAAACAGAACTTTACGTTACCTTCAAGCTTTCTCTCTACTCATCAAACAGAACTTAACGTTACATTCAAGCTTCTCTCTACACACCAAGCAGAACTTTACGTTACCTTCAAGCTTTCTCTCTACTCATCAAACAGAACTTAACGTTACATTCAAGCTTCTCTCTACACACCAAGCAGAACTTTACGTTACCTTCAAGCTTTCTCTCTACTCATCAAACAGAACTTAACGTTACATTCAAGCTTCTCTCTACACACCAAGCAGACCTTTACGTAACCTTCAAGCTTTCTCTCTACTCATCAAACAGAACTTAACGTTACATTCAAGCTTCTCTCTACACACCAAGCAGAACTTTACGTTACCTTCAAGCTTTCACTCTACTCACCAAGCAGAACTTTACGTTACTTTCAAGCTTTCTCTCTACTCACCAAGCAGAACTTTACGTTACCTTTAAGCTTTCTCTCTCCCCACCAAACAAAACTTTACGTTACCTTCAAGCTTTCTCTCTACTCACCAAGCAGAACTCTGCGTTACCTTTAAGCTTTTTCTCTACTCACCAAACAAAACTTTATGTTACCTTCAAGCTTTCTCTCTACTCACCAAGCAGAACTTTACGTTACCTTCAAGCTTTCTCTCTACTAGCAAGCAGAACTTTAAGTTACCTTCAAGCTTTCTCTTTACTCACCAAACAGAACTTTACGTTACCTTCAAGCTTTCTCTCTACTCACCAAACAGAACTTTACGTTACCTTCAAGCTTTCTCTCTACTAGCAAGCGTCTCCCAGTTGATGGATGGTTTGCCTTGAAACAGCCCGAATCATCCTGCCAGGAAAGTATAATGTCCAACCAGTCTTGCCTCAGGAAGTCTGTGAATCCAATCAATCCACAGAGCACACCTTTATTGAAACAAGAACATGTTGAGACTGTTGCACTTATTTTACCAAGTCTTACATTTAAAGAGATGCTTGCGTAAAAATAGGTTTGTATTACATATTATGTTAGTATTAGTGTTTATCATTAGCTGGTAGCTCACGGTCTTTAATTAAAATGTTGGAATTACTTTTTTTATAAATGTACATGTGCACGTAGAATATTTTTTTAACGCTGTTTTGCAAAGTGAGCGGGCAATTTTCTTAACATGTATAGAATATTGCAAACATCATATATGTCAGTGTGAAAGAAAATATTTCAAATTCTCAAAACCAGGAAGATTTCCAGATGCCATCGTAAGTATTGCAAAACTAACAACTAAATTATCCTGGCCTGTAATAGTTATTTTGTTGTAATCAACGTGAAATAGTAAAATAACAATATTCAGGAGCATAACTATATTTGGGAAACGTCCCCCGGTGCTATCACTAACGCAGTAAGATAAATTAGATTAAGCAGCAGGGTACAACGACATCAACCAAATCAGGAAACAAATAATATTTTCCGACAATAAATCACACCCACATCACGTACCTTGCTCAACGAACAGATCTCGGTCACTGATTTCCACATGGTTATTGTTGACTAAAGATGTCGCTTCTGCATATATTTTGCTGCATTGTTTCACCTCAAACTTGTCAAATTTTTCGGCTTGTCCCACTTTTGCGATGACGCTACTTTTACAACCAACCTAGAAATAATCGTATGATTGATAAGTCTGTGTTAATACACCTGTATTCTCAACCCCCAAGTTTTTCATGAGCACTTCATGTGATTGAGGGTCAAAATTGTCAAATTTGAACCCCTCCTTGATTTCTTACAATCTGAGCCAACCTCCATTGCAAAAACAGCAAGGTCACACACCGGAATAGTCTGACAACGGTAAAATCAGACATCGTTGTCACAAATGGCGGACATAACCGTCACTTCAATTAGATTTTTATGAACTGAATGTTTAATAGAGCACCTAAACTAAATTCCTTTGGAACAACAATCAATCAAAGTGTCTTAATACTCATTGTACAGTTAATAATGTTCTACCATCCAAATAAAGTCTTTAATTTAACCGATCAAAATGAGATACGGGAAAACGGACACGGTAAATTACCATATGCCGTTGTCTTTCTAAATTACTCAAATTCAGATTCCGTTGTCATTGACGATATCGAAGACGCTATATTGTGTCGATTCACGACCCAATTTGATCGAAATTGGGATTCCGTTTGAAGCATCATCACATGCACTGAAATAACGACGATAAAATCCCATGAAATGAGGACCAAGGGATTAAACAGTCGAAGTGACGGTTATGTCCGCCATTTGTGACAACGGTGTCTGATTTTACCGTTGTTAGGCTATTCCGGTGTGTGACCTTGCTGTTTTTGCAATGGAGGTTGGCTCAGCTTTTAAGAAATCAAGGAGGGGTTCAAATTTGACAATTTTGACCCTCAATCAAAGGTGTTGTTTTGGCACCAAAATTGTGTCATTTCGGCCACCGTAGTGTTTTTGCTCGTTTTGCACCAGGTCAAGGGCTTTCACTCACATTGAAATGCCTTTTGAAAAAAAACTAGAAGAAAAATATCTACTCAATTATGTCACTTAAAATCCCATCGTCTTGTTCCGAGTTCCATGCTGTTCGCTTATATGATTATGAGTTTTTAATGAAAAGTACGGCGCTGTATCTCTCATTAAAGAGAGATGATGTTGCGAGTGTTTTTTGATCCAACCACACTTTTAGTTTACAAAAACTATTGTGGGCCTCTCCAAAATACCCTGTCTGAGTTAAAACTATAAAGTATATCTTTTTGTGGGGGAGGGGTTCCTTTCTCATGTCGGTGTTGGAAAGACTGTAATGTAAGTTGACATGAAATATTCTAATTGGGGACCTTATCCGACCCGAATCAAATCAAATTAGTAATTTCAATCTTTCATCCCGATAGCTGTATGAGGATCCTGTTATAATCAGTACTGTCAACATTTCCCGAGGAAATCGAGATCTGCAAGCTGGGTGTATAAACCTGTGAACCTATAATGCAAATTGACGAGTCGTTGTTACCATTGTAAAATGAAGTATACTTTCTTAGTCTATTTCGTGCGAGGACAATTAATGATAAGTTGACTTTTTACATTTTCTTGTCGGGTACTATCTAAGAAAATGATGTATTGAATTATCTGATTGGATCCTATCCTTAAATTCACTACACTCAGCTTTGGCATTGTGGGATCCACAGCCTTTACTATCCTTTTGGAATAGTTCTCTCAAAAGCGTTAGGTAAAGAGGGACTCTGATGAATCAGAATGCAGCTTTGGGATTTTAGAATTACACGTATGCTTGCATGCTACAGGGTGCTTCAAAAGAACCCTGTAACAAAAATTGCAAGCTATATGTACATCTCAGTGATTACCCACATAATGAGCTTATGTTCTTATATGTTTTAAAGGAAGGTCGAGCGTTTTATTGGTATAATATTAGAGTCACTCAATCCTTATACTCCTTTCTATGATGACTGCGCCAGGGTGTCTCCGGGTTACCGGGACTTTAAGAAATTTCAAGTGTTGCGTTTTTAGACCACCCTGTACGTGAGACTATGATGTATGCTAAATGAGACAAAATACATCGAGAAGTTAAAGGATTAGAATGGTGAAAGAGTACAAAATATAGGAAGCGATATTTTCAAAATCATTCCAATGTTTTCTTCACAGTCCTAGTTTACTGAAAAAAACGAATTGAGATCACCGATCAAATATCGATCTGAGATGCAAACATGTACAAATTGCTAGATTACCGTGAAATCGAAGGATTAACCTGGCATAAACACAGAACTATCGGGGTTTTAGTAATACGCTTAACTTAGAAAGACAAGCGCAAAAAATATTGCAAAATTGTAATTACAAACCATATAGTTCGTTTTAAAATCTGATTCTACCTTTTAACATTCATTGTCGATTGCTAATGAATGACTTACTAAGAACACGGCGCTTGCAATGTTTCTCAATAATTGCTCATTACCTTATATCATCGTTTTCTTTGATTTTCGCAATCCTCTATTAAGACTAATTGCAATTATATTACAGCGTCGTCATTCAGAATTTTTTCTTCACAATCATTTAAAGATATTTACTCGGCCGAGTCCAAAAAATCAATCGATAAATGTCTCCACAGGTAGTGTTCGCCAATTCAACTGCCGGCTGACGAACTAACCCATTATTTTATGGCCCACTCATTTAAATATGAATAGCCATTATTCAATAATTCATGTTTAATTCAAACATGACCGTGCTCTAATTGAATTTCTCAACCAATCAGAATGCAGCATAGCCAATATAGAACGTTCTCTAATTCTCCATAGATGCACGACCGTGCTCTATCCAATCATCCGGGAATCTACGCATTGTATTTGCATTGTGACGTCACACCTTGGAATGGCGAAAATAACAGCGAGCTCGAGTTTGGTGTATCTCATGTAGCTCCAATCCCCAATTCTCTGAACAATGTTTTCATTTTTTTATATGTTTGAATCGGAATAAATAATGATAGGCCATTCAATATGGTGAAATTCAGCACTCGTTGGACAGAATGTCAGTACAAATGCACTCACCTTCGGTTCGTGCTTTGTACGACATTCTGTCCAACTCGTGCTGAATTTCACCATATTGAATGGCCTATCATTATTTATTCCTTAAATGAATTAGCTGTACACTTACGGAGTGGAGCGTCATATCTGGTTAGTATCCGCGAGTATACATCTCGGCAGTGTCATAGCATCCGCGAGTTTAACTGTCGGTTGACGGTTGACGCATTAAATGAATGGCTAAACTAAATAAATAAAACACATGATTATCTGAGAGTCGGACTTACATGTTCTGCAGCTATGAAATAGAGAAGTTGATGAGTTGTCACGTAACCCACGCCCTGATCACGTGTCATCATATCCCAGCATTCATCAGTTATCGTACATTTTTCACTGAAACAAAGATATTTTGCAAACTTATTACGCTTTTCGACTTGGCCAGGACAAAAATGGGGATTTTTGACAGGAATGAAAAAAATCTATGGCATCTTTCTAATGACACGTAATTGGTAGATTACTTGACGTGCTTTTATTTATGATTTTTCATTACTTATAAAAGTTAGGTATTTCGAAAAAGGAGCGTTTGTACGTGCAGTTGCGTACCGAAGAAGGATTGGCAGCCTTTATTCAAACTCGATCTTCCGTTGCCTGGCGCAGTGGGACAATTTGGTAACAATATTTCCCATACCTTGAAGATTGTACAGCCAAACAGGTTTAAATATTACTTCATACTCGTGCGCTATAGAGTCACGTGTATGATAACCGGTCCCAAGATGAGCTTTCTAGAAATAGTATTACTAAATAGTTCCACGCCAGGAAATTGTGGCTCGAGTTCGAATACTGGCTGCCGATCCTCATTGGTGCGTATCCTAAAACCCCACCTAATACTCTCCTAATGACATACCTTTTCTTGTCTGTTCCAAACAAATGCGAATAACAGAGATCCCCATTTTGTTCATTGTAATTCATACGCTCTCCATACGTGGTATGACTAACTTTGACAGGCTAAAACAGGGATAGTAATAATACATTAATAGTTGATTTCACTGATCTCTTGCATCACAATGTACACTTTCAGCCATCTTAGAACCATATATGGTGGCCGATCAATGTGAGACTGTATTCCTTAGGTGTAAGTCGAATATTAAAGATACATTTTAAAAATGTTATCAAATCAGTTGTATATTGATTTGTATGATTACTAATATTTTCTTTGGAGTGTCAACAAGGCATTAGCACGCAACATGTCACCGCATGCCATTTGTTACAAACACCGAACACCAACCGCCGAAAACCGTCCACAAAATATTCACAAAACTATAGCAATGTGTCACCACTTAGCGAGATATCTCGTCCTAACTTTTGGGGAATACATTGTTCGCCATACATAGCTATCACTGAAAAACCAGAACGTCATGGACGCTTTAAATTATCATTCTTTTTAGTAATGTCCTGGTGACATTAAAAGGGTCACCCTGTTCACAATGACTAGCCATATTAGAACTAGGCTTTTATGGCTCATGAAAAATTACCGGATAGAATAAATTGAACATCATTCATAATATACTACCTTAACACGTCTTGGCTTGAACTCGATGATGTAAGGTGTATGAATGGTGTCTCTAAACTGCTCATAATAGTCAGGGTTGTTTGCAGCAATTGCGGGCTCAACTTTTGCAGCGATTGTCTTGGCGAGTGTAGCAAGTTGTGCGACGCGCTCCAAGTAGATTTGAGAAGCCTCATCCAGATTAGTGGATGAAACGTGGTTGAGGATTGTTTCAATTTGGCCTGAAATGGGATGATTTGGATGTGATTTATTTAGCAGTTATGTCCCTATCATTGAATATATGCCTGAGGTCTGTCACCAATATAGCCCGAGCTTGCGAGGGTTATATTACGACAGACCGAAGGCATATATTCAATGATACGGACATAACTGTTGTATTACATACTTTTATATCATGGCTACGTTATATCAATGACGCCACGTGTCTGTGTGCGAGTGTAATTAGGAAGAAATGAAACATGACGTCCCGATGACGTCATAAGATTGTCATGGTAAAAGGTTTGGCGGCTATACAGAAATATATAGCCGACCTTCAGCTCCATTGACTTCAATACAAATGCTTCGCTGGGTATGTAATACTGTAAAATATATGATCATTTCAATTTTGCGTTGACTTGTTGTATAAGCCCTAAACGATTTGTTGTTATTGAGCTCTCAATTATTTTCACGAATTAGTATTACTCGACGGAGATGAATAAATACAATTTAAAAGCAATTTAGAATAGCTACACGCCTTACATCCTGTGAATATCAACTCCATTCTTGTAAATAAAGTATCACTGAAAATCAAGAGGGTTCAAAGGATGGTCAAATGAGGGGGGGGGGGCTACTACATATAGAAATAGTTGCCATTGCCAGAGTTTGAATTTGAAGTTTGAACTTCCACCTCTTTCACCAGTTCTTATTCTTTCCTATGAGTCTTCTCTTCAGTATCACGAACAAAATCCCCAATGTCACTTACTCAAAATTTATAGCCGCTTTAAATAGGGGGCTGCAGTAACACCAAACGACACCCCCCCCCCCGGACGCCCATGTACATGTATCATGTTTTTATTTAATCTAAACTGACTTGCTTCTATAAAATGGATATATGAATTGGTTTATTGTCTGGCTTTTTATATTACCTGACTGAAATTTACAGCAATGATACTATTCTGATTAGTTTATTTCAACAATATACAATTATTGTATGTGTTGTATTTACTTATCAAAAGGTGAGTTCCTGTGAATAGACCTGATCTGTATTGACGTAGTTATTTTATTTCATTTGTTAGGTATCAAAATCAAAATGACATTGAAGGTGCATTTTATTTCGCCCCAAAATTGACCTGTTTAATAAACATACGCCATACCTTGAGCAATTCGAAATCCAAAAAAGCCATCGAGGTTAATATGTTCGGCGTCTCTGTGAAAGAACTGAAAAGCCTTTTCTAAGGCTCCGATAAGTTTGTCCAAAGTGTTGAAGTTGTCTACATCGTCCTCAAAGTAACGTGACGTAATCGACTTTGATTGAGCGTCGTAATTTGTAAGTAGACATATCCAAAACACACACGTCCATAACACCTTGTATACCATTTTAATGTATACTAGATATAAAGAATCTCTGTACTAATTGTTATGGCCTCCCATTGCACAGCTCATGCAAGCACCGCTTCTATTCTATCTCTTATCCTTTATCAGGTAGATATACCTACTATAGTTGATTATTTTGATAGCTAAACTCTATGTTGTGACTACTGTATATCACATGGTCATCAATAGGTAGACATGATGCACGTTATATCAGCTGCTACATACGCTTAGTAGTTGTATTTCATCAATTTACAATTATAGCGACTTATAACTTATAGCGTCATACCTGCCAACCTACCGTATTTTTACGGGAATCTACCCTAAAATTTTCGTTTTCGTAAAAAATGACAAACTACCGTAAAAATTTCCCGTTTTTCCCGTAAAATTGATCGTAAAAAATCTACCGTAATTTTATCGAAATCAACCGTAAAATATTTTATCATAATTCGATTTTTTCTATAAGAACGGCCGTAAAATATACAGTAAATATTTGAAAATCTACCGTATTTCTGCTAGAATTAACAGTATTCTTGTTCAAACTACCGTAAAATCTGTCGTTATTATTTGGGAATTCTGAAAAATTGAATTCTTCTCGTATTACCCTTGTAATATTCCATTACCAGCCCGAAAATAAATAGGTGTCGGCAGGTCTGTGACAGTTGTTATTGCGTACTTAGTAAGTAATTAAGTAAGCTGGCGTGTAATCAGTCAACATACTGGGGAGTGTCGTGATGCAAAAACACAGTGTTCAACTACCACAGGTTCTACTCTGAAGTGTTCAAATTGTTAGTCTGTTTATGAAAGAGTTCCATGCATGCTGTGTTAGAAAAACATTCTTTATTATTTATTCATTGAAGTGTGTCAAAATCTACGCAAAATCAGTTTTTTTAATCTACCGCAAAAACTACCGCATTTTTCATAATCTTCCGCAAAACTACCGTTTTTTTCAAAAATCTACCGCAAAAACTACCGTATTTTTTCAAAATCTACTGAAAAACTACCGCATTTTACAAAATCTTCCGCAAAACTACCGTTTTTTTCAAAAGTCTACCGCAAAAACTACCGCATTTTTCAAAACCTACCGTGACTCTACCGCATTTTTTTAAATCTTCCGCAAAACTACCGTGCAGTTTTTTTAATCTACCGCAAAAACTACCGCATTTTTTTAAAATCTACCGTAAAACTAGACTTTCAAAAGACTACTGCAAAAACTACCGCATTTTTTCAAAAACTACCGTTTTTTTCAAAAATCTACCGCAAAAACTGCCGTATTTTTCAAAGTCTACTGAAAAACTACAGCATTTTACAAAATCTTCGGCAAAACTAGTTTTTCAAAAGTCCACCGTAAAACTACCGCATTTTCAAAAACTTCCGATAAAGTACCATTTTTTTCAAAAATCTACCGTAAAATTAAAATGGCGCAAAAACGCATTTTGAAAAAATCTACCGAAAAATACCGCAATTAAAAAAAACTACCGCAAATTTTGGTCTTAGGTTGGCAGGTATGAGCGTCATAACTGCTTCATTATTCGTTTGGAACAAATTCCCTTAAATACGAATATTAATGTAACATTTACCAGTAAAATGCCCAAATTACAAATATATGATGTATCAAATAAACAAATAGATACTATAATCGGGTGCATTTTATGTTTGTAAGGACAAGAAATATGTGTAACTTTTACGGTGCTTCCGCAGGCTTAAGCCACACGAATTTCATCGCTAAATTTTGCCCTTGGTAATAATGTTTATATTTGCTGGAATTACACCAGAAAAGCCGCTTAAAGCGCATTAGTGGAAAGTGCTTTACAAAATCGCCATCCTGATTACACCAACAATTCTAAACGGTCAAGCCAAGTAACTTAGTCAACATTCGATATTCGTATGTCCATCAATATTAACTAAGAATGGTGCCACAATTGAAGTAAACCTCTGTTTAATTATTTTCAATAAACCTATCAGCAAACGTGTAAATGATAAATTTGATGTTCTGTTACATATTGGTGAAGCAGTCTTTGGGATATGGCCTAAATTTCTGAATTTCCACTATGTCCCTGTATACCCCTACTTAAAAACATGTATGTTATTTGTCATTTTTCATTATGAATCAACCATAATTGTATTTTTTCTTGTTTACATACAGAATGAACTTTTTGTTTTCAAATATTGAAAGATGGTACTGCATTTATTTTTTCATGATATGGAGGAAACAAATGCGTGTCAATTTACACTGTAATATCCCACACACTTATATTTCAAGGGTAGTTTTGAAGAATAATCAAGAAAATCCATGTTTTCAAATGAATTCGTCCTTGTCAAAGAACGTAAGTGAGGATATGCGGTTTAAAAAACTAACAACATGTTTTAAGTTCTTACAATTCTTGTTTAAAACAAACATTTCGAAAGTTGTGATTTCGAATGTAATATCCAACTCAATGAAATTTGTTGATATTTGTGAATTTTTTCTTTCGGAATGCACATTGCTGGATCACAGAACCTTGCCTTGTTCGAGATGCACAAAAGGGGTATTGTTAATACTTGACGTCGTTCGGATATTCGGATGTGATTGACGTTTTCGTTAATCTCCAACCACTGTAACTTCCAACTTAATTTTTGAAAGCCAAATATGATAGTCATGAATCGATATTTAAGTCACACGTGGATGCATACATCATGTGTCTACATTAACTGTCGAATACATGCCGACTTTCATTTATTTAAATATACACAGTTAACTCAAATCATCAATTCTCGAAACGGTTTATCATATAACCTGACCTGAGTTTAATGTTTCATTTAAATTTATAATTATGGTATCGGATTTGAGTATGATTTTAGTCGAGGCTTAAACAAAGCAATAAAACTGCGTGAAACCTTTTGTGAAAATTCGAACGATTTTTCAAGAATCCTCCTTCAAAGTGTTACCACAGTGCTCCCCGGGAGTGGAACTTCCGTCTTGTGTAATCAAAATAATAGCGGGTGGTTTGAATTTTTGTTTGAGTTTAGAGCTCAGCATCTATAAATTTAAAAATGTGTCGCCTCATTGAGAGGTACATGCAGATTTTGGCGATCTATCTTTATAAAAGGCTAAATTTTGTGCAAAAACAGGAGTTGACACGCTTACATTTGGAATTGAAATTTCCTACATAATTGTCGACTCATGTTTAAAAGTCATGAAAACAAGGTTGAACACAAAATAATAACCTAGTTACTGTCTATTTAGCATGGGATCACTGAGGGAAATATTATTAATGACTTAAATCGTTAACAGTTAAGTTGTATTCCAAGAAACTTATCAATTTAGAAATGCAAAATGTTCAATTTTGTTTTTCAATTGTAAAAATGGCACCTGTAGAGAACAACGTTTTACAAAATTATTTAAAACGGAGATATTAACTGATGTAACATTCGTTGGCATGTGTCAGGGAGTAAATAAGAAGAATATGCATTTGATTCTATATCTTGTTCCCAAAGGAGTTTGTTAAGGAGCGGTATATCTTAACGTACATTTATCATCCCGAACTCAAATATTTCGAATCCCTATTTCGACAACGCTTTGTTGAGAATGGATTCAAGATGTACTCAAAATTAATACGTTAAAAGATGTATTATCATCTTAATAACCACCTCACAAATTATTTTGGAAATCAAAGATGTACGATTTTTGAGATTTTTATTTTCGAATGTTGACTTAGTTACTTGGCTTGACTGTAAAGCGTCTTAGGATTTTTATTTTGGAATTACACCTGTCATTTTTAAACGCCTTTCATGCACTTTTAACTATGTAGATATGGAGAATATCCAGCAGATGTGTACATCTACAATAAATGTATTCTTTTAGCATCTAAGAGAAGACTTTTGCCAGTGATGTGACCTTACTTTCAATTTTTGCGGTATGATTTGATAATCTATTACATCTTTTGGCTCCCATCCATCATTTCCTGCCTTTTTGCGGTGACCAAAATGTGTAGCATTCGAAATACGTCTTATTTCGTTTAGGGCAAATGGTAAAAACCCGGGTAAGGCGTTTTACAAAAACCGATCGGTATTACACTTACTCGTCGCAAGATCCTGGGGAAATCGCTTATTTTACGCCATTTTTAATATTCATCCTTTTACCATTTCGCTGTACATTAGAGTTACATAACCTATTATATATCATTTTGAAGGGTAGCCCCTCGTCTTTTTGACTATAGCATTAAGATGTATTAGAAATCTAGCATAACGCAGCGTTCTACGGTTTTCTATGCGAAGAACCTGCAAATTAACGTTGTAATAATGTAACGTAATTCCTTGTAAAAATACCTTAAATCATGAATATTTCGGTAAAACGTTGATCAAAATGGTCAAAAATTTGCTCCTACATTCACTGGACCATGTAAAATCATGACGTCATAACACATTGACGGTTACAATTCAAATAGTTTGTATAGAACGCATTAGATTTCTCCGGAGAAAGTGTAAGATTTTTTGGCGTAAAACACATAGGGTAAGTTAACTGCTTCTAACTTTTTTATTACTTGACAAAAGAAAAAGATTTTTGATATGGACAATATTGTCCTGGCGAAATTAAAGAATATCTCCTCAAAATATATACTTATGGCCTTTTACCCTGCGTAAAGCCAGATACAAAAAGTGGTACAAGAATGTACAAGAGCACATTTTTACATTAATTTTTGCGCATTGTCCATTTTGAGGGGTATTTTAATGGATTTAGATATAATATTTTTAAAATTTGACTTGATTTTCAAAATATTGTCCTTTCCATATTGATGCCTGTAAATTTTCAATAAGATTAATAATTAGTAAAGCACCATACTTTAAAAATAAAAAAGTGGTACAAAAATGTACGTTCCCTATTTTACGACGTAAAGGAGATTCTTAGTCAATCTTTTGTTAAGATCGTCCTGTTGTTATCAGTCGTGTTATGACGTCATAAATGATATCCAAAACACTTGAAATGTTTATATCTTATGTTCAACAATATACTATTTTGGCTATATGTTCACTTTACTACTTATTAAAGACGGAGTGACAATGAAATATTCTGTTATCATATACAGGTTATGCTTTATACGATTACAAAACAAAAATACGTTAATTGGTCGTCAAGATATTCATCATGTTCAAGCGTTCCATATAAGGAATACACGACGCGGAACACATAATACATAGAGTTCCTGTAAAGCTGGTATTCCAAGGTTCCTAACGGTATATAGAATCCTAATACTTCAACACACTTACAATATCTTAAAAGCACAATTTGTTTTTACGTGTTGTTACTTTTGTAATTTTTTGATAGTTCTCGGGTGTTACAGGGAGTTCCCCAGGATCTTGCGACGAGTAACTACACTCCAAAAGCGCCTAATGATTTAAAGCGTTTTCTAGTGACTAGGCTTCTAGGAGTTTTGGAAAAGCGCTTTTGTAAAACCGCAATCGTGATTACACCTATTTTTCATACCTTAGGCGCCTTTCTAAAACGCATGGTGTAATTCCAGCAATTGAGGCATAAGTAATGCCTGGGTCACATTTGCTCCGATCCATCGGCCGTCGCCGAGTGTTTTGTTCAAAATCGTATTCAATTTTGAACATAATACTCAATCGGCCGGGCGCCGTAGTGAAATCGGAGCAAATGTGACCAAGGCATAAGAGTGGCTTAGGCCTGCGGAAGCAATGAACCATTGAAATATATACACTCCCCTCCATAAATTTGGCAACCTTACATGTAGCTCTCCCATTGAACTACGTGTTAAAGCCTATTTACGTTTGAATTTTTAACTACTTAACACGCGATGAAAATACTTATACGTAACTTGGCTTTATTTCCAATATCTTCAAATTTTCTCAATTTTTTCCTCAATTAATAATACTAGTAGGTCGACTATTGATGATAAATTTGATGAATATTTGATAATCGACATTTCCATGTTAACCAATGGGAAATGGTAGGTTTGCCGCAAGTCATTTGACAGAATATTCATCCATCCGAGTCCTTGCAAAAAATACAAGTTAGGTAAGCAATTGAATTTGCTAACTTTATTTAACAAAAAATTGATACGTTTCATCAGGTTCAACGAAGTCAAAATTATTTTTCAAAATGCCTCTCCCATTGAAATAACAAAGGAGGCGAAAAATTATTTTCAAAAATGACTTTGAAGCTCTGTAATTTTAGTATCCATCAAGTAAACTAAACACTTAGTGTACCAAAAAGTTAGACAATTCAATTTTTCATATAAAAATATTTTTTGCTGCATCTTTTACTGAATAGATATCCTGATTTCTGATTTGCCCCGAACCCACCATTTCCCATTGGTTTACTATACATGGGAATGACGATTTTCAAAAATTCATCAAATTTATCATCAATTTCTGACCTTTTGTAATTGAGAAAAAGATTGTGAAAATTTGGAGGTATTGGAAATAAAGTCAAGTTACGTTTACATCAATATTATATGTAATTTCATCGCAGGGTGAGTAAATAAAAATTCAAACGTAAAGAGGCTTTAACACGTAGTTCACTGGCGGAGCTAAGGTTGCCAAACTTATGGAGGGGAGTGTAGGTTACCTCAATACATCAAGTAAGTGAAAACCACACACAGCATGGTATAAAAATCAGGTCATATTTGATTGCATCCAATCATTAGAGTACCTCTTGATATTTTTACAAAATTGAATGTGAATATAAATCTAAACCTCAGAAAAATGATAATTAAAAGAAAAGTACACAATTTTGGCAAAGAAATGGTACACTCTCGGAATTGCCTGAAAACATATTCTTGGGTTGATTTTATTTCAAAATAAGTGTGGAATCAGTGAGTTAATTAACACTATTACCTTTATCATTTCATAAGAATTTAACACATGTTCAATACATTGGGTCTATACCTTATTTATAGTGACACGTATAGTGACAGGTTCTTTAATCTCTGTAATCGAGTTTCAGTAGATGAATACCAGCAGATTGTTCTATTTTTCAGAAGTTGGGACATATTTTGTAAGTAATCTATTTTAACTTCAACAAGAACAAGTACATTTTAAATGGTTGTCTTTGAAAGGTACCATCTGGTTCCGAAAAATTACACTGGTCAAAGTAAAGATAGCAGAAATAAATTCCGAAAGGCACAGTTAAAATCAACCGACACCGACAATCGAAAAAGAAGCCTTCCAAGAATTCCGTCCTATTCATCAACAACGACGGTTTGGACTGAGCAAACTGTCATACTGCACTATATCTAGTAATTGTAACAACCCCAAACAAAAACATAAACGTGTCCCATGTTTTGGTCTCCCTGCAAATCAAATTGTAATCATTATCCTTAACTTTATAGTCAATGTTAGATAATTAAGTTCAAATTATCTATAAAATGGAAAGCAAAACGGGGACTTCGACGTCAACCGCTTCTGTCAGATTAAATAGTGTCAGTTCAAACCATTGTCGTTTGAGATAAGATTCACGGCCAGTTGTACGTTTCACTTAATGTGATTAGATAAGTATAGTAAGTATAAACACCCTTATCAATTACTTTAGCATTAGTATCCACTATTTGTCCCTTGTTTAATCCCAAACAAAGATAATTCATATAAACAATGATAAAATGTATGATAATTGGATCTCTATATTTATGTGAGAGTCATTCACTCAGTAGCCCACCGAGTTGGCTTTTACCAGGATGAGGACGAATGGACTAGGATTTCTAGGCGTAATTTTTGCAGTTTTTCTTGCTCAGGGTGAGTCTCTTTGCTAATAAGGGCGGCTATGTCAATCAGATTTATCATAATATCTGTGGATCTTTTTTAGCGCAAAATCTATGGTCACTACACTATGAAACCACGAGCTATATGTAATAATGCATGTAAAACCAACAAAACGTTTACGTACTATGTTTAATATTTCATATGATTGGGACGAATTGAGTCTTGATTCTTTCTTAATTTTCCTTTTTGGAATTATGGTTGTATTCACACCAATGAAAAGGGTTCCAAAAAAATAAATGAGAGAATCCTCAAAACTTTCGATTTGAGTGGCGGGCGTAGCATCAGTTGAAGGATTTAAGACAATGGAGTCAATGTAAGATGATTTAACAACGCAGGTCTTGCTTCCAGACTTTGAATGAATGCGAAAAAGACTTAATTGTATAAAATAACATGCAAAAGGCAGGTTATTAGGCCTACCATCCTTTCGGGATGATAGGTTTCTTTTGGCACCATTATCAGTAAAATGACAATATCTCCAGTTCTATTTAACATTTTTACACCAAGTTTTGACAAGTTGTTCTAATGTGATAATCCTTACTAAACAATTGCAGAACAGTGATAGGATTCAAGGAAAAGGTTCGGGACATGGGTAATTTGCAGTTTTCCCCCAAAACAGCTATTACTTATCCGTCACCAGGGCCAACATTTTCCTCTTATATTCACCAGGAAAGGGTTAAGTTGTTATTAATTGCAATTTTTAATTACTGACATACCGTTATTGAGTGTATTATTGTTAAACGTTTTTAGCCTTGAAAACTGACTTTTATTTTTTTTAAAAGAGGATCAACGTCTTTGGATCAGACAGACAACAGCAAAGAGGTTTGTAACATGAATATTCGAATTCCCGATTTTTATTTAACAATTACATTTGCTATTGCCCTGATTTTTTTCAAAACACTGTGCGGGGTTTGGGAACCGTTCGCTTGACTTCTAGGCATACTATACTTGCGACATAATTTGAGTTGCATGTTAAGATTTCTATTTCAGAGATATAATCTTTGTGTCTTTGTTTTTCACAAGTACAGGGTGACAAAAAGTGCCACCCACTTACCTTAGAATAACTTTCTCAATAAGGAAGAAATCTTCATTGATTTTTATGTATAGATGGAGTGTTCAATGGAAGAAAGATTGGTATGCTCACACAGCATCAACAACGGAACTTCGAAATTAAGAGATATCTAATTATTCGTGGAGGCATGCTCTGACACAGCATTACTCAAACCTTTCTTTCTTTATATGTACCCAATAAACGAGTCATGAAGGTCATCAAATTTGACAGTTATTAAAAATGATGACAGATTGATGATAATTTATGTGAAAGCAATTTAGAAATGACTCAAATAATGGGTAAGACAGAAATCCCAATTTGAGAAAATTGAAACAAAATGACACTCGAAAAAACAGTAAAAGACACGGCAAACCTGAAGACAAGTTGAATTCCGTATCAAAATATCGCAAATGGAAGTTCCTTTACGACAGTGTAATCACCGTTTTTACGGGGGTTAAATAATTGAAAATATGATAAAATATGTTACAGTGACATCTATGAAATAGTTTAGAAACATTGCCATGTGGCCAGTCTGAGATACCAAATCGGACATCGTGTATCTAGTTTTCTGGTTATATGGATCCCTAGAAGTGATCAGATTTAGTCCATAGATCATTATTCACTGGTGATCCACTCGATTACGCTGGTTACCGAAAACGGTTTGTTTTGGTAACAAAATGTCGGAACGTCGAAGGTACGATTTTTTTCTTTTCCTTATTTCACACTTTGTAGGCAGACTTCCCACGACATTTTTTAACACAAACGTGTGTCAGTATCATATACTTAAGAAAAAGTATATATGTGCGAACAAATAGTTCAGAAGACAACAGAATCGTCGATTTAATTCTTCACTAAAGTTACGTAAACGGTTTTTCGAAAAACAGTTAAGATCTGCACTTTTAACCCTTACCGTTTATGTAACTTAAGTGAGGAATTAAATCGACGATTCTGTTGTCTTCTGAGCTATTTTTTCGTAAACATGAACATTTTCTAAAACATATGGCCCGTTGGTTTTAATTTCGGGTACTTTGAAATAAACGTCCATGCGGAATAAACTGGCCTAATAAAGGGGCCCATTGGAAATGCTATTGAAATATGTAAACACAAAGAAAAAAATTCTATATATATATGCCTTTGTACAGGTAATGTGTAGGCTATATACCTTTATTGTTGTAAAGTAATTGCGGGGAATATTAAGGTACAGTACAAAAACAAGGTGTTCGTAAATATGAGAATGAAGTACAAAGCACCAACATTTTGGTTCATATAGTATAAATGTTCAGTACATACTCAAATACTAGGCGTTCATTGTAGCCTCGTGTTGAAGTCGTTCATCTTTTTCTATTTTCATCAGACAGAGAGTTATAAAAATTGCACAAGAACACAATATTGCCATCAGGAGAAAATACCACTTGGTACACATTTCTCCATAACAATCAGATGATTCAGTTGGACTATGTGTTTCATAGTTTAATGCAAAAAGCTTTTGAAATACGACTATCCCGATTCCATGACCCATTACAATCAGACCGCTGTTCTGCCCAAAGTATTTCAGGCCGAAATATTCTATAGTGAGTATATTGATTTGTGGGTAGAATGACCCATATGCTAGAGACATCAGTACAGAGGACAAAATCAAGCCAATGTAACTTTGGTTAAAAAATGTAAAACATAATTGACCAATACATGATATAATGCATGGAAATAACAAAATTGAAGATTTTGGAATGTCTGGCCATTTCTGAAAGACGTAGTCTGGTATAGCCCCACCAAGAAATCGCGTCAATAATGCAGAAATTGGTATAATGACTGTGAATAGTGTTGTTTTGGTATCAAACTTTGCGGATTTTACAACAGTTGTGATATTATTTGTGCATGTACCGCCAGCTCCACCTATGAGTAAGCACGTTAACCAAATGAAATAAAACTCGGGAGTTTGAATAATTTCCCAACTTTTCATATCCAATTGCTTTGTTGTTTTCTTTTGAACGAGTGTGGTTCTGTCGTTGATTTCCTCTTTTGTTTCTAATGGAAACTTGTTGAGTTCATATTCTGTTCCATAATTAGCTTGTTCTCCATTTTGATTTGTTCTGCACAGTCGGGATAGTTCAACATCACCAGGTTTATCTGTTTCCTTTTGGACTGTCTCTAGCATTACAACTGCATATAAATTTATACACGCTGAAAGTACGGCAAGCGTAATCATAAATTCTCCCAACTTTTGATTTTCCGGATCTTCAATATGCCCTTGTATATACAATGCTTCATAGAGGGCGCTGAATATCGCTGGACTAACGCCGTATATGATATTAAGTAGCCCGAGAACCTTGCCTCTATGTTTTCGGTCAAAGTTTTCGCAGTTAACCACGGACGTCGCTATAATGATGAACATAGTTCCTTCTGAGGCTAAAAAGTAAATGATGCATAAAAGCCAGTTGTTCGATGAGAAGAATATCCTGTATTCTGTTGCCAACCACATAAGTGCGAAGCCCATCGTCGTGAGAATAAATGACGCAATATTTGTAACTCTAGGCCCAAAAGTGTCGAAGAGCATACCTGGCGGGAATGATAAACACATTCCCAAGTCTCCACTTGAAGCTATGTATTCCAGTTCAGTCTGAGTGTAGTTGAATGTCTTTTTCAGGGCAATCGCATATGCATTAAATCCAAACACAATGCCTCCCATGAACCATCCAAGTATCCCGATACTCAACGAAATATACTTCTGGAGTTGAGGATGATTTTTTATTATCATACTGTTGCGGGTGTTTTGCTCCTGAGAAATGACTAGTAATGCCTTGGTCACATTTGCTCCGATTTTCACTACGATCATCGATCGATCAATTATCGATCAATTCTTGGACCAAGTTATTTTAGAATTTTGCCATTCAAACGTAAATCTTACAAGAGCTTGAGTCGAACATGTGTCGATATGATCTGAACATATACGAGGGTTGGTTAAAGAGTGTCAAATCTAATCTTAAAAAGTAACATTTCGATTTTTTGCCGATATTTGGTCACAGACTATCCCTACATATTCATGGTCATTTTCATTTTCTATATTTTGTGCTTTTTATAATCTCCATTTATGTAATAGTTTTCATTTCATTTTAACAGATGCATTTCATTCACTTACAACATAACCTGTTTATCAGTGGGTTAGATATTTGTTTCAATTGTTTTTTATCTTTTGTATGTGATTTTCATTATGAGTTCACGTCACAATATATTATTTGTTTTACATCATGCTGAGTTTCTTTATAAAGTTGATGTCCTCCATCAGTTTGTAATTACTTACAGTATGTATGTGGATTTGGGTTCGGCTTTTGCACAGTAAGTTAAGAAAAGCTAGGACGGCTTAGAATTTAGAGATTTTGAATAGATATTTTATTATCCCAAAATTTGGATCTTGTTTATTTTATTGTCACCCACGCGTCTTCTATCCGATCACGTTACTATAGCAACGCGTCGAGCATTTTTCGATTGTTTTAAATATGATAAAAGTCAATTAAGCAATGACAGTGTGATTAAATGATCCACCATCCGCCTCGTTAATATGACTACCAAGTATATTCTTGTTATTTACTTTAGTTGAAACTTCAATGAAGGATATAATTACACTGATATAGATAATCTGCATATGGCTTATACCAAGCTCACATAAGCTCTGATTCAGCGGCTGGCGCCAGGCCGATCGAATTTTTCATTCGATAATGAATGCAATTCTGAACATCGGCACCCGGCCGATGAATCGAAGCTAATTGATCGGGGCATAATATATGATACAGTATCAGTAAAATACACCAATACTATTTTCACAGTAAACAGTTTAGAACTTTTTAATCTACCCTCGTAAATGCAAACTGGTATACCATGGTACTTTCAAAGTTTCAATAAGAGGTGTTCCATCATATGTCAAATGTCATATGTACCTTCGTATTTGAATTCAACAAGAAATTTAAAGCATGGAATGTTAAATAAAATATATTCAGATGAAATGTGTACTCGCTTTGTCCCCCTGTACAAAGGGGCTCTTTTAAAAAGGTTGAACGAGGTCTTTTGAATACATTTTTTATTGCATTCATTTTATTTTCATATTTATCAATATATCAAAGCGTATTTTTATATTCGCCCTTATATGTCAATGACCTTTAATAATTTATTCATTTATTTATTTATTCATTCTTTCACCAAACACCGTTCATATTGGTTGCATTCACCACAAAATGTCACCTATATTAACATCTGAAATGTTAACCGTTCTGTTAGCGTAACAATAGTGAGGAATTGTTTTGATCATTTAGGCATTTCACGAGCTATCCATTCGTCATCATTTATACTTCCTAAAACAGAGAGATGCAAGTTTGTGCTAAAAAGTTTAACGCAATCCATTCGTTAACAGTTCAAGAACAGTGCTGCCACAGTTGAGTCAGGCTCTTTAATTATTTTCGCACATTGCAACTATTTTGCATTTTGCAGTTATTGAAGGTTAAATTATCAAAACTATATCAACCATTAACTTAGCTTGTATTCGCAAATGCAACTAACGCCTGTCGGCTACCAGATTAATTAAATAGTAGGTTAATCCGGTAGCCGACATGCGCTAGTTTCTCTAGACTACCAACTTAAAATTATGAAATTGATTTCACTGAATCTAAACAAGCTACATGTATTATAGTGATTTCAACAATGCAGATTATTTGAAATATTGTGTTTTTGTTTTAACATCGATATATATCAGACCTATAGCTATGTGTGAATGTCGTGAATATCACTTCACACATAGCTAGGCAAGGTTTGTCCAATTCCAACACTGCCCTGCAGCGCCCCGGAACAGCCTGACAACGGTAAAGTCAGATACCGTTGTCACAAATGGCGGACATAACCGTCACTTCAATTAGGTTTTCATAAACAGTATGTTCAATAAAGCACATATTTTGACTAAATTTCCGTGGAACAACAATCAATCAAAGTCTCTTAATACTCACTGTACAGTTAATAATGTTCTACCATCGAAATAAAGTCTTTTATTTAACTGATCAAAATGAGATACGGGACAACGGACACTGTAATTACCATATGCCGTTGTCTTTCTAAATTACTCAAATTCAGATTCCGTTGTCATTGACGATATCGAAGTCGCTACATTGTGGCGATTCACGACCAAATTTGATCGAAATGGGATTTCATATGATACATTTATCAGCTTAATGCATGCACAGAATTGGCGACGATAAAATCCCCTGAAATGAGGACCAAGTGATTAAACAGTTGAAGCGACGGTAATGTCCGCCATTTGTGACAACGGTATCTGACTTTACCGTTGTCAGGCTATGCCGGTGTGTACAGGGCTTATTGTTATCATTTGTAGCGATACCTCGGAAGAAAACTCATTAAAATATTACGTAATTCACTTGCACCGCAGGCATACAAAAATACAGCCTCGGGACCGAGAACAATAAGCCCTGCAGTGCAAAATTATATGCTCATACTCAACAAAAATAGCTCATCCAAGCGCACTAACACTCAATAATTCTTATGAAAGGCATCACGTTTATTGCAATCGAACTCATGTGGTGTACTAACAACGAGCCGACGCTGTTCACATACACGGTTCGCCGACAAGATTGACACATCGTTATTAGCGGTGTAGTAAGTGTGCTTGGATGAGCCGTTTTTGTCGAAAACGTGCGACAATGTAAATTGCACTGCAGTTTTTTCGTAATACTTAGGGGAAAACTTATTAAATATTATGCAATTAACTTGCACCGCGGGTAGTTCAAAAGCACAGCCTTAGATTCTAGTGAAACAAGTTTTAACTGATAAGTTGATTTTCATATTTGAGTAAAAATCTATAAATAGTATCATAAAGAATAATAAGCCAAGTGCTAATGCAGGTCAAATGGTAAGTGTTGAATGGTTGTCAAGGTGACAACTTGACAATACAGATTGAAATTTGTACTTTGGCAACTTGACCCCATCTTGCTTCATCAATATCGAAAAAACGTAGTGATTGAGCGTGGGAACACACAAAAAAGTTTCCTCGAAAATATGTTCTTTTAGTAATTTTGTATCTTTTAGGTGATATTGTCGAACATTCTTTGCAATGTGTGAAAAATGTAAGTTTAAGACTGAGTATTCTGGCTGATTTATTCCACTTAGGCGTTGTTTCCTAAACTTGGCACTCAATTCATCGAATTTCGTGCAAAGTTTGAAACAACACCCGGAGAAATTATAATAACTCCACAATGCACTGAATCCATGGCTTAAATCCGCATTATCATTGTTACTACAGGCTTTGGTGAGGAAGAAACAGTATGCAAGGGACAATGGGGAAATTTTTACAACGGAAGCTGCTATCTCGTTATCGAGGTTCACTGGAGTCGGAGACAAAACCACCAGGGAGCGTCCAAGCTGTGCAGTGAAATGGGGAGCAGATTGTTGTCCATTGACACTACGGAGGAGATACAACAACTGGGGGTTCATTTAAATAACACCATACAGCAAAATGTAGGGGTTGGGAAAGAGTTTTGGATTGATACCTGGCTGGGAGGTTAGTATGTAATAAAACGTTTTGTGTATCCTGACAGTGTACAATGTACATACTGAATTGCCCAATTTGTAAAAGTTGAGTGACTTAAAAGACAATTTATTAAAAGGTAGTATATCTCAATACAAAAATATTTTTTCTTTGCTTTAAGGGAAAGCTGTTAAACCTAAACAATGCCTTATTATAAATAACTGGAACAACAGAAATGGCGACACATCAATTTATAATCGAGGAGTGAAGCCGTGTGACATGAGGCGTAACTGGATATGCAAAGGCGATATAGGTGAGTCACAATAAATAGTTGAAATAGATGCAATGTCACAAGAATTAGTGTGTATAACACAGGCAACATAAGAAATGATAAACGTGGGTGCAATTGTTGAATATAGTTGAACTGAATACATCTTGTGAGAACAAAAGAGAAGACGATTACCCAACTACTGCAACAAAATAGGTTGTCCTAACAGAGAATTGATGACATGTGTAATAACGTAATTTTTTGTTTCTTAAGGCCACGTGAACAACATGGTGGAAAGGGAAATGTTAAGAAACAATTTGGCCGTACTGTCAAAACAATTAATGTCGCAGAATCTAGCAATCGAAGAACAAGTGCGATCAAATGGAGATTCCGGATTGAAGCAAACAAGGTTAGCCTAGGCCTACTCGCGCATACTGTATTCTTTTTACTATACAAACCTTCACATTTACATTATATAAGTATCGTATACTGTATCCGCATCAGGATCATCATGAATCCTGAATAAACTATAAATAGTGATTGTATAATACCTTCCCTATTTGATGCTTTAATGATTGACAATATAAAAGCACCAGTGCATGTACTATTCCATGTAGATAAAGCAGGTGGCTATCGGTGAGTCAATTTATGAATACTTCTAAAAGTTGAAAAGTTGAATACTTTGAGCTATTAAAATGATATTTTACCCTTTGCACTGCTAAAAACATTGCATAACTAAATCGTTTGCTGCATAATGCACAGGCGCACGCTCACTGGTAGTCGACCTTACCACTCCGACACCCACACAAGCAATAGAATGGCAGCAATGCATGATCACGCTAACAACATAAGAACTGTTGGACTTGGTGAGTTCCAATCTCATTGCAATAGCAATTATTGTATCTCTTAGGTTTATGTTATATACAAAATAATAATCTGACTTTGCAGTTAAAAAGCTCGTACCTTTCGTCCAACACAATCGGATAGAGTTAGACGTGATACCATAATATCGACAATATGAAATAAATTAATATTCCTAAATTTTATGATATTTTAGGAGAGTTCGCTGCAGTTTTGAATGGTGTTGAGTTCCGCACCAGACACAATGATTTTCGCTTAAACATGCCTAGTCGCACAGACCCAAGCTATGGTGCCATGGAAGAGATCCCCTTTCCTCCGGTGCCACCAAGTGTACTTAAAAAAACAAATGTACAAGGGCAGGTGCGTAGCTAGACATATTTCGTCAAATAGAACGAGAGGGATATTGGGATTGTTGGACATTCAGTACGGACAGGCTATATTACATATTCAAACATGACCGTGCTCTATTCGAATTTCTCAACCAATCAGAATGCAGCATAGCCAATATAGAACGTTCTCTAATTCTCCATAGATGCACGACCATGCTCTATTCAATCTGCAATTTGCATTGTTTTGAGTGACGTCACATCTCAGCTGCACATCTGGGGCTCTGTCCGGGGATAGCTGTTCTTTTTTACTCCCTCCGTAACTACTGTAACTATTGCATACACTGTATAAAATCTAAAACGGGGAGTAAAATAGAACAGCCCAAACAAATTCTAAAATTTTTCCGGCCGACTTCAGAATCTTGACAGCATGGGTATTCTTCCTTCATGCCCGTTCCACAGACACGGCTTTTACTAATTTTTATGTTTGAATCGGAATAAATAATGATAGGCCATTCAATATGGTGAAATTCAGCACTCGTTGGACAGAATGTTAGTACAAATGCACTCACCTTCGGTTCGTGCTTTGTACAACATTCTGTCCAACTCGTGCTGAATTTCACCATATTGAATGGCCTATCATTATTTATTCCTTAATTATGCACACCACTTCGCTGTCGCTGCGCCACGCCGTTGCGATGAACATATCAAAAGCAAGCAGGCATGACAGTTGATTTTTTCTTGTTTGATTGATAATAAAAGTATTGTCATAATAACTATACGTCTGTACATCATCCGTACACCATCCTCAACATTCGTGCTTTATATTAGGTAAACGAAATGCGTGAGTACTTCAGAGCGTGGGCCAACCAAGATACTAAGCTACGCGACTACAAACCTTACTTCAGGCCAGTACTGTGCTATCTTGAGGGAATGTGGACAAACTCTGGGGATAATATAGAAGAACCATTTTTCAGGTGATATGTCCTTGTTAACAAACCCAATCTGCTTATATACGAAAACGTTATTCATAATGGGATAAAGACAAGCACCGTGCTTATTAATTCATATATCGTTCATATTTATTCATATTTGAATATAATTATTGTATTTTAGTATTATACTATTATTCTATTTATTAACACAGAACAACAAAGTTTTACATATAATACGACATACTAGGTTTTAAAAGACAATTTTAGTGTTGGTAAGAAATTACTCCCCAATATTATGTAGCTATTCTTTATGACTGAACCTATTTCCTTGCAGTGACCGTCATTTCATTGATGCAGCTACATGGAGTGAATTGGAAAGTAAAGTAAGGTTTACTGCAGCGACGGGAGGCAAGAGTTTGCAGGAGAATTATTCATATTTACCTGTTAAAATTCAGAAGCTTTTCAATGATACGTTTCCCGTTTTCGCCCAATGGAATTACCGCATCGCATGTCATCCAATTAGTGGAGATCTACCATTGAACAGGTACATAGAGTTAATGGACGTCGACAGTGAACAAGACCAATTCTTTGGAAAAAATTGGACATCTTTCACATTCCCAAAGCCATTCAAAGATTTGCAAAAGTTATTTGTCTGATTAATTCGAGATTGAAAATTAAAAAATAACTGTCCGATACGGGTATTTGGAAATTTGTAGATCACTTGTACGTATGGCTATAATTCATTCATATATAAGACATTTTCTGGTATATAACAAATACCTTTTCTGACTCTTATTTCGGAAAATTCAAAATGCTCGTCTCATGTATCACAGTATTCACAATGATTAAACATCTGTTTTAAGTATGTACCTGTATGTAATTGTATAATTTTCCTTGTCATTAAATAACTATAATGATGGTTTTATAGAAATCTGTAGGCTAGGTCATCTATATTTTAATTAGGTTTCGAGTAGTGGACGATGTGTCATCCAGAATGGCTTTCAAGAAGACATTTGACCAACACGCAAAAACAAGAGCTGCTCGCTTTGAACTTAACCAGTGGGATCAAGATAAATGGCGACCTGATGGGGTCCGTGAGTTTTTATTTTATCATTGCGTAAACATATATAGACTAATATGCCCTTTTCAACATTCCCCTTTGCATTTTATATACTATTTTAACAGCAACAGTTGATATTGTAATTGGCCGGTAATTTGGACTATTGTCATTTGCCAAAAATTGTTTTAATATATGTTCAAATGAACGTGGCAATTTTAGACTTTCTATGACTCATATTTAAAGCGTCAAATCACTAATACGCTGCTCATCTAGTAAGATGTTTCTTTTTTCTAATAAAGATATTCCATCCACGTGCTGGTCTGCTTGACAAATTGATGTCTGAAATTCCCGGTCGAAACAACTACATGGCGAATCTTGTAGATGATGCGTTTGGTTTGCCTGCTCAGGGACTAAAACCAGGTGCTGGCCCACTTAATGCTGGATTCTATCACAGGTGGTACAAGGGACCTAGGAATGATGCCATGGGTGTCAGTGTGAGTAGAAAAGATTATATGTTCAAACGAGAACTCATCTAGAGAGTCATATGTCTGGGAATATCGATGTCTTTGAATAATGGGCTATTCCCCTTTTGTTTGAATATAAGGTTAATATAAACCCCTTTACGTTCTCAAAATCATTACAAGATGGTAACAGTGCAAAACCACACATCCTTCATTTCCCCTTAAAGCTAATTAATTGTAATCGTTTTACCCACTATATAACTCTCTCTCTCTCTCTCTTTAATACATTTTACTATTTACCTTTATATCTCTCGTGCTTTCATATTTAGATGCGTGCTCGTGGCTATTCCGACAGCAGTGTCTTCATGGCAATGACAAACCAATCAAAAGTGTCATCTGTGGATTTAGACGACCAGTGTAAAAATGTTAAAGGAAAACGGTAAGATGTTCAATGAGACCAGTTTTTTCTCGTATATTATTATGATAATCGTAACTTGTGACAGAGACCCTCCATTTTGACAATCGGAAGTCTGCTGTTTGGTTAAGTCTGTTTATGCATAAATTCCCGAACGATTGAAAGGAACGTTGTATTTTAAAGGCTTTAACATGCTCAAATCAACAATCCTGGTTATGAAACATAATGGAGGGAGTGGAGTTTTAACTCCTTTAAATCTGTCTCTTTTAGAAATAATTTAACAAACACCGAATGAAAAGGGTTGCTTTTTATAACTGTGGAATTGCCGTAAAACTGTGCAGAGGAAAGTATAAGGTATTGTGTAAGGTTCTAGCTAGTAAAGGCAATTATATTATATTGTATTCCTACATCAGTACATGTCAGCACTACAGTCAAAGATGGACATATGCCATACCACTTGAGATAATCTACCTGACGCCATTAAGCACGTGGAACCCGTACGACCTTGAATACAAGGGGAATGCATACAGCCCTCTTGGAAAAACAGTGCAAGCAGGTGGAAGAAATGGTGGCACTAAACCGGATAAGGCATACAATGGAATAAATAGTAGAGCTTACTACCTCACTCCTCAAGAATTTTTCAAAGGGGGTATCGTAGGGAGAGATCCAGCAGATACGGCAAAAGGTTCTGCAGGTAGATTGGGAACATCGTATCCTATTGAAGTTAATTCTATGTGGCCCACTCTGCCTGAATAATCCTTTTACAGGCAGACAATATAGTATTGGTGCATTGGCATGACAATTATCAATTCCGATTTCATAAATATAAAGGCTTTAATATAATCGATTGGATTAGGGATGAAATCTGAAATTACAATTTAAAGATCAGTATGCATGTCTTTCGAGAGGGCACACACTTTTCAAAGTTTATATTCTATATTAAGGTGTATTGGACAAAAAGGGTAAAGTTCGAGCCGTCAAGGCATCAGGGATCCGTATATTCTTCCCAAATATCCCAGGGGTTGGCACATTGCGACAACGTTGGCCCATAGCACCAGTGCATGGGGAAGGAAGTGCAGTTTGGAAAGAACTTGAAGCCATAAAGGACATTTTATTCAATCCACAGAAGTATCGTCACATGTACCCAAGTGGAGGTAATGTGGTACCACCTGATGACGGTGACCTGTCACTACAAGTGGCTTATACAACCAGTGATCCACCAGGAGCACACAGCCACATAGTGACCTTGACCCAACAACAGGTAAGTGGTCCACGAAGGCGTACATGAGTTGCCACAGCGACCCCACTAGGGCGACCCATAGTCACATAGTAACCTCGACACAACAGCAGGTGAATTTCTAGTGGCCGACGTTATTGCAGCAATACTTGACACGATAGCATATTCTATTTTAAAAGTATATTATTTTAAACATATTATCGTAGCAATTCTTGTCTAATTTCGTGGTTTAAGTTAATTATCTTTATTACATACAAATATAGCGTTATAAGCATTACAAAAAGAATGTAACCCAAAAACAGAACAGATGCATTTTACAAGTAGAAATACAATGAGAATCAAAACTCGAATTGGAATATCATGTATATTTTTCTTGCTATTTTAAATCATGTTACATTTATATTTTACTCTAGGCCAAGGATGTCCGCAATGGGAAGTCAGTTGTTGCATTCACAAGCGAAGACAACAGTCATCAGCATCAATTGACGATCTCCTATCAGGCCAACCCTCCGAGATATTTCATTGCTAAATGTGACAACAGGAATACATGCTGGGATAAACATGCAGCAACTCTTACTCCAGTCTCCTCTTTTGATACTGCGCTTTAATTAGACACGATTTTGATCGACATTTGAAGTGTGTTGTTACTGGAATTATAGAAGAGCTCGAGTTCAAAGATATTTTTTCTCATAATGAAGAAAAATAATGAATATGTATGTCAAGGAATAAAGTAACATAGTCTGTGTGTAAACATGTAAACCTTTCATTTATATATGTATAATTTTTCTTCTTGATCTTTAATAAAACTCTAAAAACAACATACCGGTTCCTCGTTAGTTTTTGATATCCAAGATATCTTAGATGCATCGATACTCCCTCTTGTAGCATGGTATCGAGTCTACTCCTATATTTCAACCATTTGATTATGTCAACACTGGCGGTCTCAGTCCTGAAATGTTATCATCATTCTGTGATTCACAATGTACCTTACATTGATGGAAAATTGCTGGCACACAACAATTAGAATTCCATGTTCAATGGAATCCTAGTTAATACATTCACAACGGTTGCTTAGATTAATTTCCGAGGATTTATTTACTTTATATTTCATTATCTATATTAATTAGATAACAAATTGGTTTAGTTTTGCAATATTTCTTTAAATTGTTCCTATAATTATGCAATAATTAATTAATTATAATAATTAATTATAAGAACAATTTTCATTTGCTCGAAATATTGCAAAACTAAAATTTTAAAGCAACTACTTTTTATTATTAAGAATAACAAAAATTATTTAAAAACATTAAAATTTGTGAAACATATTCTTATAAGATGAGAAACGGAATTTACAAAAATCTCAAGTGAAACCTATATTTTAACTTTGCCTCTTGTGCGGTTTATCTGAGACACCCTCTGTGTACTTTAGAACAACAAATATACAAGGAAGCAAAATACTGAACAAAGATCTCTAATGAAACCTATATTTTAACTTTGTCTCTTGTGCGGTTTATCTCACTCTCTGTGTACTTCAGAACAACAAATATGCAAGGAAGCAAAATACTGAACAAAGATCTCTAATGAAACTTTTATTTTAACTTTGTGTCTTGTGTGGTTTATCTCACTCTCTGTGTACTTTAGAACAACAAATATACAAGGAAGCAAAATACTGAACAAAGATCTCTAATGAAACCTATATTTTAACTTTGTGTCTTGTGTGGTTTATCTCACTCTCTGTGTACTTTAGAACAACAAATATACAAGGAAGCAAAATACTGAACAAAGATCTCTAATGAAACCTATATTTTAACTTTGCCTCTTGTGCGGTTTATCTGAGACACCCTCTGTGTACTTTAGAACAACAAATATACAAGGAAGCAAAATACTGAACAAAGATCTCTAATGAAACCTATATTTTAACTTTGTCTCTTGTGTGGTTTATCTCACTCTCTGTGTACTTCAGAACAACAAATATGCAAGGAAGCAAAATACTGAACAAAGATCTCTAATGAAACTTTTATTTTAACTTTGTGTCTTGTGTGGTTTATCTCACTCTCTGTGTACTTTAGAACAACAAATATACAAGGAAGCAAAATACTGAACAAAGATCTCTAATGAAACCTATATTTTAACTTTGTGTCTTGTGTGGCTTATCTAAGGTCCCACTGAAGAGGCTAAGGCCTCTGTTACTTGGCTCCTGTAACATCCTTAGCGTGTGTCTCTTAACCCATCTACATGTAGCTATCCATCGCATAATTTTGTATAATATATATTGGTTCGACACAAGGATGACCCATATAATACAGAGATATAGTAAAGTACAGGTACCTGACGCACATTTATCCTTCAGAAATACATTATTGGTCGAACGATTATCTGGGTTCGAAAGAAAACACCAGAGCTGTCGATTTCTGGAGATTGGCTCTCAAACTCAAAATATAATCTTTTTACATGTCGTTTTGGTAGGTACAAGTATGTGTTATCGTATGTCACATATGTGACTATATAACGAAGACAAGATAATGTCAATGTTATTATTGTTTAACGCACACCCACTGCTGATACACCAACCAAGAAGAGCCATGTCGGGGGTACGCATCAACGAAGTTCTTCCTTTTCTGATACTTTTTATTGTGACAATTGATGCAGGTAAGTCGGACTCAATCCTAGTCATAAATTTTTATTTTGCATTCCTCATGTGCATGTTGATGTATAGGCAAAATTTAAAACTTTGGATGCCTTGGAGACAAATGTTAGATACTACTGTTTCAACAAATGCTTCTTTCGTGTCTACTTGTACTAGTTATGGGTTATGGAGTCAGATCTCTCTATCCCAAATCATTTGAGAATGAATGCTCTTTCCTGTATGGATCCGTCATGCTATAACAGCGTGGTACTCAGCTGGGCCTGGAAAAACATAATTTATAAATGATGTATATTTTAGTATTTTTCGTATTAATGTATTTTATCGCACACATGGTGACTATTTGTAACAGACTTAGTGCGGCATTCTGTTAATCCTTAAACTTATTGTATGTACTTTACTGTATTAATTTTATAGTGTCTTATAGACCGTCAACGGTCTGGTGTATTTGCCCAGGACATCCAAATAAATAAACAATACAATACAAAACAAAACAATCTTTGGTACATTCCCTTTGGCACTTGAACATACAAATGCATGTGCATGTAACCTATTGAGGTTCTCATCCTGATAATTAGACTAAATGCATTTCTTAAAGGCGTGTCTAACAAGAAAGCTGAACCAAGTACAGAATGTCTTGGAGATTGGGGAAACTACTACAATGGCAGCTGTTATCTCGTACTAGATGTAAATTATAACTTAAGGCAGCCCAACAAGGTTGCCATGGAGATCTGCGAGGAGATGGGCACAAAACTGATGAGTGTAGAGACACGAGAAGAAGTTAATCAGCTAGGCATTTATATCAATAATACTCTTAAGATTGGTCGCTTCAGGGAATTCTGGATTGACAGATGGTATGGGGGTAAGTGCTTGGAACTAATAAATAAAACAACATTTACTGGTGTTTTAATGACCTTCGATAGCAAGTCGCTACTACAGTCTCAGCTGTAGTGGTAGAACTTATGGCTCAGGGGTAGAGTGTCTGACTCGAGAGCGGAAGGTCCTGGGTTCGATTCCCGTACGGGGGATTGAATCTTAGCACACTCTCTTTCATGTCTAGTATCTCGCTGGGTACACTGCAGCTCCCCGACGGACGTGACCAAGGGTCCTCACAGTGTTTTTTTCCTAGAAAAATGTTACGTAGAATTCCTTATCTTGTCATTTTTGGCTTGTTTCTTGACTAGGGTCCGGCGGCTAAGGTTGGACAACTTTATCCTTTAATAATGAATTGATGAACTAAAAATGTATACGTTATATATATATTCTAGAAAGACTCGATGGGTATCCTGAAGAGTGCTTCATACTTACAAACTGGAATAATCGTTTTGGAGACACGTCCATCTATTCACAGGGTAGAAAGTCTTGTTCGCAACCACGTAACTGGATATGTAAAGGAGACATCGGTAAGGTCCGACAGAGTCAACCATAATCAACTTGTCTTTTTTATTTTATAGAGATCCTGAATTATTGGAATTAAAATAGGCGTTGGATTATGTTTGTTTGCATGTTTTGTCATGTTGGGGTTTGTTAATTTCCTAGAGTGATAATATTATTTGAAATTACAATGTAACGCATTTTGGTATTTTAAATGAGATATTGAATTACAGAATATAATTTATAGCTATGTCTGAGAGATCATATGACAATGTAACAATTAATCTTTTCCAAAATACAACTTTGACATTATATTTCATGATCATATTGATGACTATGCTAGAGATTGTCAGGCAAAATGCAAACGTTGTGATAACTAATCTTATCCATTAACAATGTTGACATTTTAGATCACGTCAATGACTATGTTCAAATGGAGCAACTAAGGCAGAACATCAGAGTTCTCTCAAAGCAAATAATGTCTCAGAACCTTGCCTTTGAGGAACGTATCCGCTCAGAGGGAGACTCTGGCTTGAAGCAAGTAAGGTGAGGTACAAAAAACAGAATGACCGCATATATCAAATTATAAAACAAAAATAAAAATTAAATTACTGTTTATTATCCCGAAGTTCGGTATAGTGAAGCCCTCCGTCCGTCCGCGAGTCCGTCCGTCCGTTCAGAAGATCTCGAATACTGGTTGACGGATTTTCTTCTTATTTGATGGAAAGATGTATATTGGTGAATAGTTTTTCGCAAATTTCTTTTCAAGATGACCGCCGTTTGTATGACTTTATTATACCCAAATGAAAGACAATATAGAGTAAATTGCAAATCTTGTATCGTTTTTTCTGATTTCTGAATTTGAATTTTCTGATCTCTTCAAACTATGCCTATATTATACTCAAATTGAAGGAATTTCAGAGAAAATGACAACTGTGGTGTTGTTTTTTCTGATTTGTGCCTCAAAAAATTCAAAATTGCTGCCTAGAGGAGAAATTCGCTATTAACAAGAGATCTCTCTATAATTACATGGAATTACAATTGATATCTCAAATATTAATTTTAAAAAGAAGAGATTGTGACATATACAGAATCATGAATATGGTGTTCGTTGGAATTTACCACTCCGTGGAGTTGCCGATTTCTAGTTCAATCTATCAGCATTTTGATGTTGCGTGAACTACCTGAAAGGATTTTTCGATTAAGACAAACAAATGATAAATGACTATTTTCAGTACTTTGGTGAACTAAATGCAACCTCATGTTTGAGCTATGAAGACGATAGAATTATATCGAATGTAGAATACATCATTATGCTTGTAATTACAGGCACACATTATCTGGCAGTCGGACGTACCACTCTGAAACCCACACCGGAAACAAGATGGCCGCTATGCATGATCATTCTAATAATATCAGAACAGTTGGACTAGGTTAAATAATTAGAAAAGTTGAACTTGAAATTGTTGATTATTCAATTTCGCATTGCTTCAATGGTTTTCGCGATATCTGCTATCTTTGACAGTTCTAAAAAAAGCTTTTGCCTTGATTTCATTTAATTTGAAAGATAATGGATACTTATTTTAGGAAATATAGCATTTTTGGCACCCAAAAATATTCTGAAAGAAAATTTACATTTTATATCTCAAAATGTCAAAAATTTACAACCTCTGAAATTGATCTCAATTAGACCTTTGTTGACCTACTGTTCGACAAACAGATACTTTTCTAAAAATAGTAATTGAATAAGGCTTACAACAATACCACCATTATTGAAATCAGACAAGTAATAAAAAGTCTTAGTGTTATAAACACTTAGTGTATATCATTAGTTTTAAAACAGGAGAAAGGCAACACTTTCTCAGATAAAGCGCAATTCTTTATTGTCCATTTTCTGACCTGCAGGTGAGTTTTCTGCAGTTTTGAATGGAGTTGAGTTTCGCACAAGACACAATGACTTCAGAATGAACATGCCAAGTCGTACAGATCCAAGCTATGGTGCTATGGAAGATGTCCCATTTCCACCTGTGCCACCAAGTGTATTGAATAAGCCTGATCTGCAGCAACAGGTTCATTACTTTGTTACTTCATGTGATCTTACTTTTTAGTTTCAATGCATTTTTTACTCAAGTTAAAATAACTTTATTGAGTATTCTGTTAAAATGTTATGCTGAACTATTCACTTAAATCTATTTGCTTAATTATTCCTTTCAAACATATTACTTACTTATTCAGTTATTTGCTTAATTATCGACCAAAACATGTTGCTAACATAACCAGGGATATTACCTCTCCAGAATTTCTCCCGTATTTCCTTTTCTGCAACACTCGGATACTTTTGTTGGGTAACACGAGGGAATGTCTATTGTTTTGTACTCTGACCCACTGTCCCACTCCATACGAACATATTCATCGATGTGTGCGTGTTTTTCTTTTTTTTGGGGGGGGAGTCAATTGGGAGGGAAATGCTCATAGAGCCTGGGCTCTCCCTTCTCGGTGTTGAATGAGTAAAGTTCATCCGATTTGGTATGCAATAAAAATAATAGTTCATTAAGTAATTGAGTGTTATTATCTACTGTAGCTGGATGAGATGCGTGAATACTTTCGTGCCTGGGGAAACCAAGACACAAACATACGTGACTATAGACCCTACTTCAAACCGGTGCTCTGTTACCTCGAGGGTCAGTGGACAAACACTGGGGAAGATATTGATGAGCCCTTTTATAGGTAACTTACTAGTATTTTAGCCATTCAAATAAGATGAATTCTAAGTACACCCCTTCCACAAGTTTGACAACCGGAATACTTAACAAAGTCTGTTCATGAATCAATAAGATATCATAGATTTCCGAGGTACATTTAGTGTTACTAAAAATCAAAATTAAGATTCAGATGTGTTGCTTCGATATGCTATCCTATGAAAACTTCTGGTTCATAAACTCATTGAGGAGAATGTGAACCATGAGTCCTGGCTTCAGTTCAACTGTAAAGTTTGATTTTTATGTATTCCCTATTCAACTATTGATACTTTTTTGTGTCACACTGTTTTGTTGGTACGTTTTTAAAAATAAAACAAAATACAATTCATGCTTCTATTGTGTTGCTACCTTAGTGGGTTGTAATTGTATATAAAACACAATTAGAAATATTGTATATGAACATTCAATTTAGTGATCGCCACTTCTTGGATGCCGCCACTTGGAGGGAATTGGAACAGAAGGTTAGGTTCACCTCATATACCGGAAGCAAGAGCTTGAAGGAGAATTACTCTTACCTCCCAGCTCGTATACAGAAGCTGTTCAATGACACCTTCCCTATCTTCGTCCAGTGGAACTACCGCATTGCTTGCCACCCAATTAGCCGAGACATTCCATTTAACAGGTATCATAACTGTGTGATACGTACTAGATCAGTATTCACTTATTCGACACAAATGAAGCACCACATTAACATTGGTTTAGGGGTCAGAGCCTAGTTCATTATAAGAGGTGAAGTTAAGGCTATTTAAAAAGATGCACTCATATTTAAGCCCTGGACTCACTGCATTGTGTGCTGAGTCATTCCATTGAAGGTGTAGTTTTCAAATATTTGCATGACTTCGCAGCGAGAATGCAAAGGTTAGGAAACAACACCTGAGTGGAACTAAGCAGCGGCCACAAAGCATTGAGTCTTGGACATATTTTCAATGAAACGTTTTGCAAGGGTCAAGTTGGCAAAGCATCAATTTCAATCTCTAGAGTTCGAGATATCACCTTGACAACCATACAACAAATGCGTCATTGATTATATAATGGAATTCAGGTAAGCAAAATAGCGCGTTCTGATTGGTTGTCATCGGACATACCGTACCTTGCCTAGCTATGTGTGAATACAATACAACTTAAATATCGAACTCGGAATTGAGGCGGTAGTGAAGGTGATTATATATATTGATGACCGTTTATAATTTAAAAAACAATAAACACAACCATGTTCCTTTATTCCATTGAAGGTTTCGAATGGTGGATGATGTAGCTTCTCGAATGGCCTTCAAGAAGACAACGGCACAACACGCTATGACAAGAGCTGCTCGTTTTGAACTGAATCAGTGGGACGAGAACAATTGGAGAGACGATGGTGTAAGCACAAACAGTAAAACCTGTAGATCTGAACATCTGTCCAATCCGACATCTGTCCAAACCTTCCAATGTGAACAGTATCTTACGCTCGTATCTGAACATCTCTCAGTGTTAACTCTTTTTCGCATTAGACGCGTTTAATGTATTTTACACGACGAGTTTGTAGAGAGAGTAGACGAGTTTACACGGAGACTGATTGTTAATTTATCAAATTATTGTACTAAATCACAACGACTAGTCCAAAATAAAAGAATTGCCTGTATCAAGCACCAAGGTGGAGGTTATTTGATAAAACATGTATCACTTTTTCAAGTTTATTTTGAACTCTGCGTATTAACGATTCTCTTTACACGCAGGTGTTTTGGCGGCGAACTGGTTTACTTGATCAGCTAATGTCTGAGATCCCTGGCAGGGACAACTACATGGCCGATCTTGTAGATAATGCCTTTGGCATACCCGCTGAGGGGATGGAATCTGGATCTGGACCAATTAATGCAGGATTTTACCACAGATGGTACAAAACTGCTGTAAACGACGCTATGGGTGTTGGTGTGAGTAACATATACTTTTAAGTGTTGTTGTGAGTACATACTGAACTTTAAGCGTCCATGAGAGTATAGTATATACGTTACTCTTTAAAGTGTTTGTATACTTTATACTTGAAAAATGTTAAATAGTTGGTGTGAGACGGCGAGTTTGGACTTCGTACTTGATGTGAATGATGGTGTGCGTATATATCGTATACGTTTTGTTTTAGTATATTCTCTATACGTATGAGTGCTGTTGTGGGTATATATGTCCTATTTAAGTGTAATTCATCGAGTCGTTTCCATGTGCCCCTTAATCAACACTGTCTCAAACCATATGATTTCAGGTGCGTTCACGTGGTTATTCTGATAGTACCGTATTTATGGCAATGACCAATCAGTCAAAAGTCGCTTCTATGGAGCTGGACGACGAATGTAATGCACATCTGGGAGTTGTGTAAGTGTTTTCAAGACGTTTTGAATCAAGGAACAGACACGGGCGTCTCTTGGTATAATGAGGGCGTTAAAGTATAGCCATATATAAGTACAGTCTTATTGCCAATATATTTAAGGATTATGCCCTGTACTCAAAGCGATGTTGAATGACCATTCCTTGAAGGTGTTGCTTTCCAAAATGTGCACGAGATGCGGAGCATTGATTGTTAATTTTAGGAAAAAACGCTTTACAGGAATGGTCATTACACAATGCACTGCATCTTGGGCTTGTATTCTTTTCACGCATTGCAAAATATAGTCTACAATATCATCTAAAAAGTACGAAATCACTAAAAGAACATATTTTCAATGAGACCTTTTGCAAGTCAAGTTGGCAAGTTATCAGTTTCAATCTGAGGAGTCCAGTTATTACCCTGACAACCGTTTGACTAGTGACCTTGGTTATTGGTTATACAGGGTGGGCCAAAAAAAACCAATACCCAACTTTAAATCAGAATGAAAGTAGCTATGTTCAATATGATACATTGATTTATATATCATTTTAAAGGTAATCCATTTTCGAACAATTTGGTATATAACACTATGTCATGAAATCAATATTAAAGTTTTATTATGCTTATTTGGGAGGCCGGGTCGGTATTTAGGGTATTCAGATTTTAGGGAGAAAATAGTAAATCTGCGGAATAATGTTAATTTTTTATTTATAGAATATCATTTTGTTAGGTGAATACATGCTTGTATATTTGCATATTCTGTGACTAAACTTATTGTTTATGAATGTTAGTGTTGTTTATTATCAATAAGTACTCAAAGGGGTCAGTTAAAAGACATTAAATGTATATGTGACGAGGATTTTATTTTTAAACATGACATTGCCTCAAACAATAGATCTCAGGAGACATTGGCATTCCTTGCAAACAAGGTGTCAATTTGATTGATCTCGATGCTTGGTCACCCAACAGCCCCAATGCTACATGTAATGTGTTTAATGGGGGTATATTGAGCAATTGTTAAAATTGTTTAAATAAATAAAGAGTAAAATGTTATTAAACAACACTGAAATTCATAAACAATAAATTTAGTCACACAATGATGCCAATATTAATATCCAAACATGCATTCACCTAACAAAAGAATGATATTCTATAAATAAAAAAATTAACATAATTGTGCAGATTTACTATTTCTCACTTAAATCTGGAGACCTTAAATAGCAACCCGGCCTCCCAAATAAGTATAATAAAACTTTACTATTGATTTCATGACATAGTGTTATATACCAAATTGTTTGAAATTGTATAACCTTTAAAATGATATGTAAGTCAATGTACCATATTGAATGTAACTATTTTTATTCTGATTTAAAGTTGGGTATTGGTTTTTTTTTGGCCCACCCTGTATAATGGGATTCAGTTATGTGAAATATATATAATTGTATATTGAAGGTTGTTATTAATAACGACGTGAAGCAACACGTTTTAAGGGAACTTGTACTGGATCGTGTAGCACATTCCCTTTCTCAACTGTTTTAATTTTTGCTATTTAAACACTTTATTTGTATCACAATACTAAACAGCTCAAGTAAATACTACAAAGGAGAAAACTAATCAATAGAGGACTGCAATTATTCACGTTCGCATAATTTCAAAATTTTTTAAAAATTTCAAAAATTTTATAACGTGTGGCCCAACCTCACTATGGTATGTTCTAGCACATGCAAACACTACAGCCAGCGCTGGAGCTACGCCATTCCTCTTGAAATTATCTACCTCACTCCCCTTAACGCGTGGAATCCTTATGACCTCGAATACAAGGGGAATGCATGGACCCCCTACGGAAGAAAGGTAGAAGCAGGTGGAAGAAATGGCGGCACTGCACTTAATAAGGCGTATAACGGAACCAACAGCAAGGTGTATTATCTTACTCCACAGGAGTTTTTCACTGGAGATACAATAGGCAAAGACCCAGCTGATACTGCAAGGGGTTCTGCTGGTTCGTATACATTTGCAGTGCGAGGACATTTGTTGTTCGCCTATAAACCTTGTTATACCATTTGCATTCGTTTGACTTCACTTCTTAAAAGAGAGCTTCGTAGTTTAACTAGACTCTGCACGCAGGGTAACCTTGTTACTAAGCTGCTTGCAAATCCAACAACAATCCACTTGGTCCCGATCTTACATAAATAGTTTTATTTTTTAATTTTATTTTGATATACTGTAACTTACTGTTAATTAAATGTTGTGAATCTTCAATCATTTAAAGCAATACAATACATATGTATATGTTGCATTAAGTTATTTTATGATATTAGCAGATATGGGGCATCGATAGATCAATCGTCTATATCATATTTTAGGTGTCTTGGATAAGCAAGGCGTGGTCCGAGCTGTTAGAGCATCGGGGATGCGAATATTCTTTCCAAATATTCCCGGTGTTGGAACGTTGCGGCAACGTTGGCCCATAATGCCTGTACACGGTGAAGGAAGTGCAGTTTGGAAAGAACTTGAAGCAATCAAGGACATTTTATTCAATCCACAGAAGTATCGGCATATGTACCCGGATGGAGGTAATGTGGTGCCACCTGTTGACGGGGATCTGACACTACAAGTGGCTTATACGACAAGTGATCCACCAGGACCACATAGTCACATAGTGACTTTGACCGAACAACAGGTAAGCTATTCATTTAGGTGAACATGTTGCCATAAAAACCCTACTAGGGACGGCCCACAGTCACATGGCCTTGACTACAAAAAGATCAAAGATCTCACGAGGGCCACGCACGTAGACACAGTCAATTATATGCAAAAAATCATAATCATTGTTTGTCAGAATCTGATTATTTGTTCTCTGTACACCTTTAGGCCCAAGATGTCCGTAATGGGCAGTCAGTGGTTGCGTTTACAAGTGAAGACAACAGCCACCAGCACCAAATAACGATACGCTACCAGACCAACCCATCGAGCTACTTTATAGCAAAATGTGATGGAGTAGATACTTGTTGGGACCGTCACGCACCCACGCTTACGGTCGTCTCAGCTTATGATACTGCACTTTAAAGGAGACATCGAACTCATCTAAGAATCAAGTAATTTCACCGACGCTGTTCTGAACTTAGAGAAATACAACATGAGTACTCCACCATGCATGATTTGCCATTTTAAATGTGTAATTGCTCCATATTTATGTGATAATAAGCTGAATGATAAAATAAATATGCAATGAAGAATACCTTCATCAAGGATATTGAGCGTTGTCATCTCATGTCCCCAGTGGTGTCCATTATTGAGGGGTTGCACGTCGCTAAGGGACAAGTGATTGTATTCTTAATAGATATCCTTGATATTGCTGGCGTGATATTTTTGTTAACTTACTTTAATACGTAGAATAAAAAATATACTTTAAATAAATCGAAACTTGTGAATAGTATTCTAAAATGAACTGACAAATTTAACAAAGATCTCAAATGAAACATATATTCCGAAACAGTCTGTGTATTTTTGAACATAACACATATAGATGACGGGAAATTTTGAAATATACTTTTAACGACTGAACTAAGATCTCTAATGAAACATATATTTCCTAAAATTGGATTATGGACTACTGAACTGAACTAAGATCTCGAATGAAACATAAATATTTCAGCAAAGTGTGGAAAAATTTTGAAATATGCTTTAAAAGACTGAACTAAGATCTCTAATGAAACATATATTTCAACAAAGTCTGTGTAGTTTTGAACAACACATACAGATGTGGCAAAATTGTGAAATATACTTTTAAAGTCTGAACTAAGATCTCGAATGAAACATATATTTCCTAAAATTGGATTATGGACCACTGAATGCGCATATAATAAAACCATGAAATAATGTCCTCATGTAATAAAGTATTTGCCGTTAATTAATTGCAAAATTTGTCTCGCAATAATAAGAGTCTACATTCGAGTGTTCGGTAAATATTCATTAAAATTAATACCAAAGGTTCTGTTCTTGCTTTGGAGAAAAATAGAAATTATTGGTAGATTCTCTAAAGTGCACAAAGGTCTACGAAGATTTAATGGAAAATAAACAGTGTATTTTATAAACTTTCAGGAAATACATATTTTCAAAAATATTAATGAGGTGACGAAATGGATAAAAATATCATGGTTAACGTAACATTTAATGTAGCTACTATAGTCTACAACCGTTTAATCAAATGTATCCATGGCAACAAACTGAACTTTGTACTTAGTTACCTCTTTGTATCCCGATGAAATAAATTGGAATTAAATCTTTGGAATAATATCGCGAGACTGGAAAGGATTGGATGTTCAAAAGAAGTGATTATAATCGAAATCAGGACACTTGATAACAGCAGGAGATCCAAGCCGCAAATGTGCTTCGGTTAGGCCGATTTCTACTTCCGCCGGGACGTCATAAAGTCCGATATTTCGATTTCGTCGGTAGAGCCCCAAATCACCCAGCCATTTTTGATTGTTCCTAACTTTGTGAATTTTTGATGAAATTGAATTCTGTTTTCAGTTTTGAGTTATATAAGTCTAGAACTTAGTTCATTAGAGTGTATATGACTCAAAGCTCGTGAAAATGCAGCTGAAATGCTTTCGAAACAATTCGAATTTTTTTCAAGCGATTTTTTAAGAAATTAAAACTTTTTCGAAAAAACTGGCAGAAAACCATCTCCCCCTGCTCTGAGATTCAAAGTGGTATTTAAATGATACAAGACGATATGGGAAACATTTTTATCGACTTACATTTTGTGAAGAATACGTGCAACTCGCTGAAAATTACTTTCAAACCTAGATCATTATTTTCGATTTTCTTGTTTCACTATTGAAGAGCGATCGTCAGTTTCCGGTTCCGCCGTGCGTTTCAAACTTTTTGCTTTTGAACATATAGACCTTTTTAGGTTGAATATAATGGTACTCATGCAGATTTCAGTACTGTCAACCCCTAAAGATTTTCTCGCGGGACAGATTTTTTAGACCCAGTGCCCAAAATTCGCGGGATTTTGCGGGACATCTACTAAATTCGCGGGATTTTGCGGGACATTTAAGGGATTTGCGTGATTGCGCTAATAGGATTTCGCGGGACCATTCGAGGGACAAACACCCTAATTGCGGGACAGTTAACAGGTGTACCACCAAAAACTTCATAGAGGGACAGATTTTTTAGACAAAGTGCCCTAAATTTGCGGGATTTCGCGGGACATCCACCTAAATTTGCAGGATGTCCCGGGACATTCAAGGGATTTGCGTGATTGGGACTAATGTAAAAGCGTGTAGAAGTACTTAAATCAAACTTTCAGATACTGATTAATCAAATATAATGCACCGTTACATTGTAACTTAAATAAACGTAAACACAATTTCACAAAATACGCATAGAAATATTATTAAACTTTATTGTAATTTATCAAAAACAAAAACCATGCTTCAGGTGAGATTACCGTAATCTAATACGAAATTCAAAAATTCGGAACAATACTTTGCACTTCTGGCGTCGTGACCAACTATGAAACGCTTACCCCCATAATGTTATATATTAAAATGTACCTATTCATAGACTGTAGGCATGGGCTTTCAATTGAAAGCCCATGATATAGGGGTTCGATTAATCTACATCAAATTATAGGGAATGAGGTTAATTTTCTAGATAGGGTTTGTATAAAAAACCGGGTACTGGGTAGTAAATCCTCCATGCTGGGTTCAAACTTGGTACCCGGTCGAAAAAAACCAAAAAACGAAATATACGAATACACAACATAATTAGATCATTAGAAAACGCAGGGGCGGATCTGGGAACCAACAAGGGGGGGGGGCCCAAATTTCATGTCAGAAAAAAAAACGTCCGCGCTTGCGGGGAAAAAAATTTTGGGCCCCTAAAACGCAAAAGTGGGCCCAAATTTTGAAATTTTGAGGCCCATTTTCTTCAAAATTTGGCCTGAATTTAAAAAATAAGGCCTTAAAAGGCCCAGTAATGACCAAAAAGGCCGACTTTTTTGGGGCCGGGCCCCCAGGCCCCCCCCCCCCTAATCCGCCAGTGAAACGTGTAAGATTTGTTTTGAATTTACAAAAATGTATGTAACTTCCTTCAAAATTGAGCTAGAAGCTTCAAATAAAAAGCATTTTAAGGCTCTTTTCTTCCTCTATCATCTTGGTCATATTTCCATTGGTAATGAAGGGGGGGGGGGGGTGCGATCGCACCCCCACCTGGCTACGCCAATGACATTGTAAGACGATTTGAAAAACAAGACAAATCAATCTTACTCTATTTTCAATAGTTCGTATGTTGGTACGTGAATTGTTTTGATTATGATTTAAATCTGTAAATAGCTATCGTTGCTTTAGCAGAGAGGTGACGTGTGTTAATTTGCATGATGCAACGTGTAAGATTTTGATTATTAATCATAATTTAAGTTATCCCAATTTATGACAAAATGTCCACTGAATTGTAAATTGTTATGTCTTACAATGTCATAGGCGTAGCCAGGAGAGGGTGCGATGGTGCGATCGCACCCCCCCCCCATAACCAATGAAAATATGGCCATAACGATAGAGGAAGAAAAGTGCCTTAAAATATGCTTTTTATTTGAAGCTTCTAGCTCAATTTTGAATCATGTTACATACATTTTTGCAAATTCAAAACAAATCTTACACGTTTTCTCATAATCTAATTATGTTATATATTCGTATTTTTCGTTTTTTGGGTACCCGTTTTTTTTGACCGGGTACCGGGTACCAAGTTTGAACCCAGCATGGAGGATTTACTACCCGGTACCCGGTTTTTTATACAAACCCTTTCTAGATATCAGCGTACATTTATTGTAACTCGCGTTTGCTAACATTTGCTCAGTTCTGAGATGAAGGCCACACGGGTAGTAAAAAGGCCAACGTTGGAACTATTTGTGACCTACATCCCTATTTTCGTAATTAAAATGAAAGTTGAACCCTTCCCCTTTATTTTGATACCAAACAACAGCATGCTAGGTACTTAAAATTAGGTAAACTTTACTCCTCAAAAGTGCAAAAACTTAGCTTCTTATATAAGATAAGATAATCAAAATATAGGGGATTGCAACAATTTCGGAAATTCGCGGAGGTCAAAGCCACATTTTGCGGGACTTCGCGGGACAATGCGGGACACGCGAATTAGCCTAATTTTGATCAAATTCGCGGGATAATCCCGCCATTCGCGGGACACTTGACAGCTCTGAGATTTACTATGTTGTATATGTATGCTGTATATCTGACTACACATGGACCTCATAATGAGTAAGTACAAACGCTTAATTGAGCCTAGGATCGACGAAACATGTCAGTTAATTGACCTAGATTTTTCAAAATGGATGCCATATTTTCGATTCCAAATCGGTAAAAACTATGTTTTGATATCTACAATAACATATTTTCAGGGTAATAAATTGAGCGATTACAATACACCTGGAATTCTAACGACATATTGTGGACATCAGAAGGTACAAATCGTTTAGAATTGCAGCATTAACACATTGAACAGGTTGGTTATTTCCTTATTTCATGGGTTCCTAGTCATATAAATCCGACGGTTATATGCTGTTCTTCGATATTCCTTGTTCCTATTTGGATATTTATTTTTTATCATTTTCTTAGCATATACCGTCGTAGATATTATTGCTGACAAATTGCGGTAAACGCTTTTCTGGCTTGTCTTGGTAACCGTAGTTACCATGCTAACCAAAGTCACACAAATTATCGAGTAATTATTTAGTTCCAACATCAAAGTGTTAAATCTTACCTTAGACATGTAAAACGCTTGATAATTGACGAAATATAATCAATTGAATTATATTTTCATTATCGCCCACCATGTTGCTGAATGTTGTTTCCGGTAGTCTAAATGTAAAACATGTATCAAAACGGAATCATAATTATTTATTACACAGAGATCGATTCCAAAGCCGTTCTCTCATACTTATTACTTTTCTCATTTTGAAACAATAACTTTTCCAAATAACTTCCCTTCTTAACGACACTGCTTCCCTTTCAACTGATTTTTTCGTGTAACAAGTACTTATGATTTCGTTTAACATAGTTTTACATATAGACTCAGATTAACCCGGAAGTGACCTTGGCATGGCAAAATGAAAAAATTTTAAAATCCAAGCGGCATGCTTATA